CCATGTTTGTTTTTCTCGCAAAATAAGACAAAAAACTGTTTGGCATTATTCGGGATAGAATAGAATGTTTTCTAGACAAGAAAAATAAAGTTTTGAAAAAGTGAAAAAATTCGAAATTTTCCAAAGGGGTTAGTCCATGTTTTTTGTCTAAAATTGGCCATTTTCCATCTTTGGTTTTTTTTCTGCAAAATAAGCATATTATATTCTGGATAAGAAAATAATGCTTTGTAGACAAGATATTTTTTATCGATTAGTAAGCTTAGTTTTGTTTTTAGAACCTTACCTAACAATATCTTGAGGGCTATTTTAAACAAAAACAAACTTGGAAGAAATTGCAATTTGTTTAGCAAAATCAAAGTCAAAATGTCATATTGATACTCTAGAAAGCCTTCTTATATGTCTAGATCCTCATCTAACAATATATACATGCCTATGTTAAATAAAAAGAAAGAAATTTCAGATTTTTGACCCAAATCTTTGGAGAAAAGTAAATTTTTCGACAAAGTCAAAATGTCATTTTTATACCTTAGGAAACCTTTTTTTTTAACCTCATCCAACAATATACCTAGGCCTGTCTTAAATAAAAACAAAGTTGAAAGAAATTTCAAAATTTCGACCAAAATCATGGGTTAAACCTTAGGAAAATTACAAATACTGCGAGAAATCAAAATGTTATTTTCACACCCTAAAAGACTTTTTTTTTCTTTTTGAACCTCATGTTGAACAACAGCTACCCCAAGGAGAGAGAAAAGTGACCGTTGTTGGAGGTTCGATTGTAGCTGCCTAAACCAAAGTGGAAGCTTAAGGTCATGCTAAACTGTGAAGAAGCCTAAAGAAAAATGATGGAAGACATGTTACAAAATACTTTTTTATTTGAAGGTTTAAAAGTCGTACATGTTGTTACAGTGGTTCACTTCAGTAGAAAACTAAGAGTGAATTATTTAGACACAAATTAAAGTAAATGTTTCTGTCTAGCTTCTGTTTTAGAGCCCTTTATTAACTTTGAAATTGTTTTATTTTGCCTAAACATCTGAATGAGTTCTAAGATTTGCGTTTGGATATCAAAGCTATGTAAGTGTTAAAAATCACTTTTCAGATACGAAAAAATTGAGAAATTATCGAACATGAACTTGAGCACTGAGATAAAATGCCGCTACATGTTGGGAACTAACTACAACTACAGATTGGATTTTAGAAAAATATTACAAAAATATGTCTTTGTTTCTAATTTCACCGGACTAAATTATTTTCAGTTCAGTCCACTTAAATATCGTCTGCAATCATTGCAAATAAATAATAAAAAAGTAGAAAGAAGCGACAAAGTGACTAATGAAGGGATATTTACACCAGCCGGATTACTTTTTTGCCTTCTTTTTTGGTGATTTGCCCATGGCGGACTGCAACTTTCTCTCTGCCTGTTGTTTCCTTTCGCTTTCTGGTTTGCTTTCATGTTGTTGTAGTTGAGCTTGTTTCTCTTCAAGCCGTTTCTTGAACAAGTTAAGTCTTTCTAAGCAGTTACTCTTTTGCAACGCAATAGATTCTAGGGAACCCTTCGCGGTGGTGATCTTTGTCGTTGTTTCACGAACTGCATTCTTGTGTTGCGCATGTTCGGTGCTGCCCTCTGCTGACTCCCTCAAGAGATCGGTTTGCGCGAGAAGCTCTTGTTCGAGTTCACGCAAGTTTGTGGTGACGTCGAGTGCCTCTCTGGAAAGTTGCGCAAACTCTTGGTTCAAGGTATCGACAGTGTCCTGCATGTCTTCCACTTGAACCTAAAAGTCAACGGAAAACAATAAATCTCTCTAAAAAGAAACAGTCCGCTATTATATATTGTTTTTTAAAGCGGCGCCTCGTGATTTAAAGAATTTTGGGCGGTTCACGTTTATTTTGTCGCTACTGAATACAAGAAGAAACTAAGAGGTAACGACCGATTTCAAACAAAGCAAGCGCGTAAGAGGAATTAATCAAAATGGTCAAAATATCAAAAGAAATTATCATGACCTTTTTCATTAGAAATATTCCACATTTCCTACTTAGTATAATGAATTTAAATAATGAAGGTAAATATGTTGAAAGGCATTGTCTAGTGGAATATATAAGACATACCTGCAGGAATGTCTTGTAAAGGTCCTCATCTTCCTTTGGCCGAGATGGCAAAGATTTTCCGGAGATTGGCAAGCCAGTGGCAGTGCGTGATGTTGCCATGGCACGGGAGGTTTGACGTGACATTCCACGAGTCATCAAATTACCGCGTGACTGAACGTAGCGTGACATAGGCCGGTCCTTGGTCTGTGGACCTTGGAGCTCTTGCAATCTCTTGTCAATGAATTCATCCGTACCCTGCAAACGCGCTTGGATAGACTTATCTTCGACATCACCTAAGAAAGATCGCAACTTGGACTCAACGGCAAAGTTGCTGTACTTCGACAAGCGTTCCACGATGGCGTCATGAGTGAAATGTACGCCGTCTTTGTTTGCACCCCGCAGCAACTTCGCGTCCAGCAGCCCTTCCACTACGTTCGATTTATCAGCTTCAGCATGTGCGTCGCCAAACACTGATTCAAGCAACACCCGACTGGCACTCTCAAGGTCTTCATTTTCCGGAAGTGACGACAGCGTGCGTGCAAGCGCAGAGGAACGCCTGTAACGCGCAAAGAACAAGTCATCGCATAAGACAGCGAGAGCATGATGAAATTCTTTCAGGAAGCCAGGATGAGAGTCGTCACGGAGATCACCGGCAGCGATATGAGAAAGACAGTGAACTAGAACAAGCACGAACTCCCCAACATTATCCATTCGTTCGGCACGCACGTAAAGAATGCGGTTGTTAGCGTCGTAAAAGAAGGAATTGCGATACGCGTTCCTCTGGAGATGCTTATTCGGAGGAAGTTTGTCTGCCAGGAGGAGAGTGACTGGAAGATGGTGGCAATGAACAGCAAGTAAGTCTACAATGAACGAACCAAATTTGTACGTCACAAACGCACGGGCAGGAAGCTTGTTAAGATCCACAGGGACAAGATCATCATCGTCTGCCCACAGAGTGTCATCCTTGATGTCGATGTAGCCTTCGCCAGGTGCTGACGAAAAAAAAGCTTCATTTCAGAACTTGTTACATGCTGTGAATCGTTAGCGTGATCTGTGGACCTAACTTAGGCGGCTGTGTCACGAAATCTATCAAGATTTGAAACGAGGAATCAGCCACCAAATTGACTGAGACATTAAAACAACCGCTTTAAAAGTTAAAAGAAGGTATAAACAACATCACAGATGTAAAAGGAAGCACGGATGGACAAACCTTAAGAAGATTGAAACGGATTTCAATTNAATTCTTTCAGGAAGCCAGGATGAGAGTCGTCACGGAGATCACCGGCAGCGATATGAGAAAGACAGTGAACTAGAACAAGCACGAACTCCCCAACATTATCCATTCGTTCGGCACGCACGTAAAGAATGCGGTTGTTAGCGTCGTAAAAGAAGGAATTGCGATACGCGTTCCTCTGGAGATGCTTATTCGGAGGAAGTTTGTCTGCCAGGAGGAGAGTGACTGGAAGATGGTGGCAATGAACAGCAAGTAAGTCTACAATGAACGAACCAAATTTGTACGTCACAAACGCACGGGCAGGAAGCTTGTTAAGATCCACAGGGACAAGATCATCATCGTCTGCCCACAGAGTGTCATCCTTGATGTCGATGTAGCCTTCGCCAGGTGCTGACGAAAAAAAAGCTTCATTTCAGAACTTGTTACATGCTGTGAATCGTTAGCGTGATCTGTGGACCTAACTTAGGCGGCTGTGTCACGAAATCTATCAAGATTTGAAACGAGGAATCAGCCACCAAATTGACTGAGACATTAAAACAACCGCTTTAAAAGTTAAAAGAAGGTATAAACAACATCACAGATGTAAAAGGAAGCACGGATGGACAAACCTTAAGAAGATTGAAACGGATTTCAATTTTGTTTTTTCAAAACCTGTTAGCCTAACAGTTTTTCAAAGTTATTACGGCTGATATAATGCTTGGGAGATATATATTTTTTTTGATGCAAAGTTATGATTTTGTCGGATTAATTTAGGTTTCTAGGAAACTGCCCACCTACCCGCCATCATTTTGACCCCAAGTGAGAAGTAAGTGTTAATGTTAGCTTAGGGGAGGGGTAGGCGGGCAGCTTCCCAGTTGATCCATTTTGTCATTTACAGGTAATTCCGCAAGAGTTATAACAAAAGAGGATGCGTCACTGGCAAAATAAACAAAATGAACTAGCCACGCGTGACACAGCCCCTTCAAGATATTTCTCCGTTTCTGATTGGCTAAAATCCCACACATAATTCATCATAACCAGCTATTGTCGACGAAATTTGGACGAATTTTGCAACATTGACCCCATTACGTCAATCGTGCAGCAAAATTGACAGATTATTGAACCGTTCACCGAGAGGACCTAGGACGAGTTTGAGTTGTTTTGGTAGTGAGGATAGTGAGTACAAAATGGCGGAAATTCAAATTGATCTGAAATAGGCCTGCAATATGCTATGGGATTTTGAAAAGATAACTAATTCTCTTGTTCGCCATAACACAGATTTCAATCCGCAGCGCGTAAACCGGCTTTGGAAAACGAAAAAGACAATTTTTATCAGTTGTTAAAGAAAAATAGCGGCCAAACGCAACATAACGCTGACTAATTCGTCAATAAGTATACAATAATAAAACCCAGAGCGCTTACCATTTGTAAGGAAATGTCGGTATAAAATGTGTGACAAATGGTACTAGACTTGAGAACGTTTCCGAAAAGAGAAATGGGTTAGAGTTGTACTATTTGCAAAACAACAGATAACGAGTGGGCCTGGGTTAAAACAAATGACCTTCCTCCCCAAGAGGAAGCCTGGCACTGGTTAACCAGACAAATGTTTCGCGCTCGGATTGTACTTTTTCTTCAAATTCTTTCTTTTCTTCTTCGTTTTTATTCGTCAGCTCCTCAACCTAGGAAGAACAATATGAAAGAAGCATTTGTCAGACCAAAAATCTGTTCTAGAGTCAGAATAGTACAAACTACAGTCCTCCTGACCTTAATAATACCATTTCTGTTATTAAACATCTTTAACTTTTCAGAAGATGGGATTTATTTACGGTCAAGTTACCATTTTACTTAGTCAATAAAATCCAGTATAGCACTGCTCATTTGAATGGTTTCTCTTATGGATTTTATCTACGAACTTAGAACCACCGTGTATAGCATAACAAACAGTACCACAGGAAAGTACTGCTCAGTAGCTTTATTTCGAATGGTTAATCTAATGAATTTCATCCATTGACTTACCACAGGATATTAATTGCCCAGTAGCGACATACTGCTTGGGGTAACCCTGCGAATGACTAGCATTTCGTTCAGGGGGGAGAGGCAAACTCCTAGATATGTTTCATGCTGAGGCAAACCGGGATAACCTCCGGCCGTTTGGGCCTCTGGCTCGTGTGCGCCTTAACCTTTTATATGTTCTACACAATACATCTTACCTTAGCTTTCCGCTTTGCCTCGCGTCTTTTCTTTAATCTTTCTTCCAAGGAACTTTGCATTCGCATTCTATCTGCGTCCATTTTGTTCATCAGTTTTGCCAAGTCCTTGCTGTGTTCTTTCAAAATGGCCTCCTGATCTTCTTGGGAAGCTCCTTGATTGCTTAGCTTTTCCATTTCTTGTTTGACTTTAGCTTTCTTTTCCTTAAGCAGCGCTTCTTTGCGTGCGTTCAAAGCAAGGATCGCCTTTTCGTTCTTCTTTTGTTCCTGCTCGGCCTCTTCTTCGAGTTGTTTATCGAACATCTCAAGGTCTTCTTGTAACTTTCGCTGTTGTTCAGCCTCGAAAGCTTTAAGTAAGAAAACATTTTATTTAGAATTTGTGGTGAATACAATTGTCGTAAGTGAAGTTATGTTTCATTATTCAAAGTAGGTGAGCAAAATTGTAGATGATCATGAACTTCACATAGGTCAACACAAACCTTCCTGTGAAGGGCAAAAACAATCTGAACTTTCCCTAAGTTCAGACAGCATTGTAATCGGTACCAAGCTTTTGCCTCAGAATGGTAGGCACTCGTTTGAGGGACGTTTTCGTCTTAGAGAAGAGTTAGCACTCTGTGGTTGACACAATCAGTAAACACTTCGAGGCAATTTCACACAGAAATCAATACGAAATCACCCCTCCTGCTTCACCTAAGATACAAACCTTCATTTTCTTGTTTGAGCTTTTCTTCATTTTCCAAACGCTGTTCGTCCAACTTCTGCTTTACGACTTCCAGCTCCCTCGCGGCCGCCAGTGCCTTTTCAACTGATCGCCTGTGTTCCTCTGCCTGCTCTGGCGTCAGCTCATTCAGGGCATCGGCATATTCCTGAATAATAATATACATCAGTGACATGACAGAAGGCCTCTTTTAGAGGGGGGAAACAAGTCAAGAGGGTAGAGGGGGAACGAAAATTGTCAAAGGAAGAACTCTACTAAGACAACGGAAAGCCTTAACACATAAGAGGGTCAGGAATATCATTAGTACAAGAAGAGAGAGTCATCGTAGTGAAAGACGCAACTTATGCAACTGCGAAAAGAAAGCCTGAACAAATTAAGGGTTTCTTTTCGCAACTGCATAAGTTGTGTCTTTCAATGCGATGACCGTCTCTTCATATATTTCTTCATTTCGTGGTTTGAATACGTGTATGTGAAATTCGGCATATATTCATCATTTCAATATAACTAGTAAATAAGACAGGTATGGAATGCGGGCGAGTTTCAGGCTTCTAATAGAGGGTCAAAACGCTCTTACCCCAACCACGGTGCTTTGCATAAGTTCACGCGATAGAAGATCAAAACGCACGTGATCAGATTACCAGTGACAGAAGGTAAAAACGGACGTGATCAGATTGCCTTTTTATATTTTATTCATTCTTCGTGGAAGTCCAAACGAATGCTGGCTAAATAAGGGGACCAAGCATGAGTAATAGTAAACTGGAGATTAGAATTGCGGTTTCCTCTTGTCACCCGCAACAAGATTTTTACTCCAATTCACAAATGTTAACTCAAGTGCAGTACCCACCTATACTTGAAACGGTTCTGGGTCAACTGGAAAATCCTCATACAAACTTATACCAACCTGATAATGCTTTTCTTTGAGTTCCAGCTTAGCACGAGCAAAACGTATTTCCCAGTCGGATAACACGCCGTGTTGAATCTGCTTTCTCTCCTCAGCGTGTTTCTTGTCAAGAGCGCTCTGACGCAGCTGCTGTTGATTCAATAACTGCGCTCGTCTTTGTTGCAGATCGTCTGGGCTGAGGTTTTGTTTCTCCAGATCTCTTAGTTCTTTCTCGTTCTGTGCACGCAGTTCATCGCTTTCCTGAGAGTGCCTTTCTTCCATCTTTGCTAAAGCTTCATCTACGGCCACCTTTCTTTCTTCTTGGAACATGCGTTCTAGGTCCTTAAGCTCTTGACTGTGTCGTTTCTCAAGAACCTGGAAAAGGCCAAAACAACAAATTGACGATAATCGCGGACCATTTTTAGGCTAATGAAGCAAATTTTCCCGTTGATAACATCGTCGAAACTGAATTTTTCTTACCTTTCTAATAACAAACTCCGCAGATTCTGAGCCATTTTCTCTTATTCCTTCAATCATAGCCTGCTTCTCTGCTTGCTTGATCTGTTAAGAAAGAATACGTTAAATATAACTCTATTTGGTAATAATTTTTTGGGAATTGTCCGCATCTGGGCTTTCATTTTTGTACAGAATTACATTTGGTTTATTCTGAACAGCGAGCGACGCAGCCGCGTATTAACCAAACTTTCCCCGTCCATGAAGACGTAACTGAGCCCTTGGAATGAATGAGTTGGAGTTTTACTTCCTAATTGTTTGCCTCATGATCATCACGCGCTCTTTCAAAAGAAAACAAGTGAAACGAGAATGCTACTCACGTGCTCAGACCGGACTTCAGCAAGTTCCTTCTTCTGTTCCAGAAGCTCTTTAGCCATTTCTCGTTCTTGTTTTCGTTTCTGCGCATCTTGCCTTTGCTTCTTCCTCTCCAACAACTTTTGATGCAGATTCGCTTTCTGGCGTTGTTTTTCTGCGTCCATCTTTTCCATGATTTCGTCTAGCTCTTGTTGGTGGGTTGCCAAAAGCTTTAGATATAGGATCAAGAGAAACGCTTGTTAATTCGAAATCAACACGGTTTCTTAAACGCGCGCAGGATACAAAACCTTTTCGGCGAACACACAATGACACGAGTCTAGGTAGACAATTTCTTACAATTTCTCACCTTAGGTTTCGAGTTGGTGCCATTGTTACAAGAATAGACTAAAAGGCTAGAATTAGGGAACTAAAGCAAAAAAGGAAGTGGGCTTTTTGCATTCATGGGCAGTAATACAATACTTGGTTTCTCATAGCTCTTTCTTAGGGATGACCAAATGTTCTAGTGTGACTTGCGTGACAGATAATTATACGCCACTTCCACATTTCCCATAGTGCACCTGATTTGCCCCCCAAAAATTTTGCATAGTAGCATTGTAACATATTATAACATACACTTTATTACGACTCCTCTATACGGGGCTATTCTGTCGTAATATACAATAATTAAAAATTATTCCTCGAGCCTGAATGGGCTCTATTAACTCTAAGGCCAACATTAACTCAGAGGCCAAATATACAATAATAAAATTACAATGGGGCAAAAAATTCAATTTCAATTTCTCTTGGGACGGCTGTGATGCGCAGGAGAAATGAAAAATAAAGGTTATGCAAAATTTTTTGGGGAAAATAAGGTGCATTATCGGAAATGTGGAAGTGGCGTATTGACTGTTTTCAATCATTCCTGTCGTACTCAGACTCTTTGTCGTACTGGTCAGGCAAGACTTAATTTACAACAGTCGTTCTGTTGGACGCAATCACCTGTTGTACGTCCTCTGGGGACATGTCCTTAGACCTCGCAGCCATTTCAGCAGCATGCCTGTCCTTCAGCTCTCTAAGTCGTCTTCCTTTCTCAGCTTCAAGCATCTCTACTGCCTGATCTTCCTCTGCCGTCAGCTCTCTTTCAAGTTTTTCGTTCGTTTTCTGCGTATCCTGTTCGTGTCTCTCCCTCATGTCGGCCAATGTACGCTCCTGCTCATTCCGCAAAGCCTGCCATTAACAAAAAAATAAGTTACAGCGCTATGGACAAAGAGTTGCTTTAACAAAAATTAACATAAATTACCATAGCGTGAAAAATATATCATATTTACATACATTAGCATAAATTATCACGAGTAAATTAAAACTTTCTAAAAGGTTTCAATAAATGCTGGCCATTCATAGAATGTAGCAATTGACATGAAAATAAACATAGTAATCAGAAATTACTACATCTAACCTCCTCCTCTGCTGTCTCACGTGGAATTATGACTTCGGGGACAACCACGTGATCTGCATCCATTGGCTTGTTGGCCGCGATGGCCTGGCTCTGTTCTTCGAGTATACGCTGACCAGCTGCTTCCTCTGCTTGACGGCGTGCCTCATCTTGACGTCGAGCTCGTCGTGCGGCGAGCTTAGCCTGTAGGGTAGACAACGAAATCTTACAATTTTTAACTTTTCAGAGACCTCTTTCTGCAATGCGAGTTTATCAGTTGATATCTATTTTACTGTCGCCTGTTACTCCGCGTAAATTGACTCGCTTTAATTAAAGCTCTTTTTATTTAATATTGTCTGTATATGCCTTTTTCGCTCTGACTACGTTGCTTAAATACAGTCGAACCTCCAACAGTAAGTGGCCACCCAAAATGCCAACATTTGGACATTAATGACGTGAGTTCCAACTACAGAGCTTGGATTGAAAAAACAAAAAAAGTGATTGGGCAAAAGTGCTTTTCAATAACGAAAGATTTGTCGTTACCTTCGTATCTGCAAGCGACTTGAGTTTGCGTTGTTCAAGATTTTCTTGCAGAGCTTCGTTGTCCTTTCTGAACTGATCCATTATCTGTTGCTGCAGAACTGCGTCTAGATTATCTCTGGTAACCTGTTAAAGCCAGAAAGACAGAGGTAAGAGCTTAATTGATTTTAATTCCAAGCCTGAAACCTTTTTTAGCAAAAGCTCATGAAAACCATGTTAGTCGAGCCAACAAGAAAATTTATCTCACGTACAATGTTGGCATTGAATTTATCTGTTGGCTTGTTTTGACTTGTTCGAGAAAGAGGTACTTTTTATAAGTTTCTTTAAACACAATAGAATTTTGCGTCAGCCACATGTAATTACTTCGAGTTTTGATTGGTTCAATGTATTGTCTGTGTCCTATGTGATTGGCCAGAGTAATTACTTTGGTTTTGGTTTTACGACACTCAAACGAAAACCACTCTAAGTGCTAAAACCCAGTACACATAGTAATCCAGAACGCACTCAAAACATGTGCTGTACATGGCTGGGATATATGAATCCTGGCTGGCAGCTGCCAATGCCTTATCAGACCCGCCGCTGATTGATTCATGACTTGATCACTCGTTGACGAGGAAAACCATCGCGGGAAAAAAACAAATTTCCCTTTAGGCAATTTCGTTCCTCTACCTGGGAAATCTGACACATACCTTATCCAAAAGAGCTCTATGAGATTGTTGAACGTTATCCATGTATTCTTCATTAAGTTTCTTGACAATCTCTGCAGAATGGCGCGCTTCTTCTGCATCAAAGCTGGCCTCCAGAGCAGCAATTTCCTGTTCCTGCTGCTTCATTAGTGTTTCAACATCACCACCTTCGCTTATGACCTACAATGAGGTTGACAAAATAAAGTCAGAATTTGTTGCAAGGTAACAAATTGTCTGTGGAAGACATCAACATATGTTTCAGCGTTTAGTGTGTTTGTTAACATATGATAATTCTAAAATGGTGGCAGATTTAATTATTCTTCTTTCTTCATGATAATTGGTCCTCAACGCCTCGTTTCGAGGTAAAAGGCCTTTTGAATTCTGCGGACAGACGGTCGAGGTAGAGAGGGCTAATTAACGTAAATAAATATACAAGAAAACTACTGTTGTTAGAACTTTGGAATAATTTGAAAAATCTATTTTGAACGTTGTGCCAACGCAGCTGGGACAGTCGAGTTCTATGCTGGAGCCTTCAATATGAGACAGCTGAATGAACTGTAACTGTATTAAATGAACTGCTTAAAATCTACTATAGTACGCCGTACAGGCGTCCAGTTCCATTCAAATGTTTTAGTGTCTGATTGACAGGTGTAATTTGATTCCACAAGTACACATAAGGCTCGTTTAACATAAAGGAAAATCAAGTTGAAAGATTGTACCATAAGACCTTTCAACAAGACGTTCCAATAAAATCTATTGCCGCCAGGAACAATAAAAAGATAAAACTAACCTTGGCCTTTTCCAGTTCCTGTTGTTTTCTAAGTTTTTTCATTCTTTCTTTTCTCCTCTGCGCAAGTTTTTCCTTGAGCAGCGCTGTCTGTTGGGCGCGTTGCTGGGCGAGCTCACGTGACATCTTTTCCTCCAATTCCATTTGCTCTCGCTTAATTTGCTCTGCTTGATCAGCGTACAAAGACCCGGATGTAACAAGGTCATCCTAGAAAATGAAAGGTATTTCTTTGTATCTCGTGGGTAATCTATTCTCTGTTATTTAAGTAAATACTGAATTGATTAATATATTTTGGGTGCTAGCTGTTTTTATTTGAAAGCTGTTAAGGTGCCTCTTTACTTCTAATATGTTGATAAAAACCTTGAGTGTGTCTGTTCAAATGAAAGATACATAGCAGTACTTTCCCGTGCCACTATTTCTGTGGATGAAAACCTTAAGTGTGACCACGCAAATGAAAGCTACAAAGTGGTGTTGTTTATTAAGTTGTACAAGGTGCTTGTGACGTTTGAGTCTGTGGATGAAATCCTTAATTGCAAAAGAAAGTAACTGAGCCCTACTTTCCTGTGAAATTATTATTATTATCATTATTATCATCATCATCATCATCATCATCATCATCATCATCATCATCATCATTTTAGAGGGTTTATGGTGGCGTGGGCTTGTAAATTGGTACTTTAGGATCTTTTTAATATTTTTATTTCATTTTAATCGACATGAATTGTTTTTAATTGAAATGAGTCTTTTTTTATCATTCATTCATTATTATTATTATCATTATTATATTGCATGGACACACTTTCCAATAATGTTGTTCTTACCACCATAGCACAGAACTTGTCTCCCATCTGTCGCTGGTATGTGTCTGCTTGCTCATTGGATAGCTGCTCTTCTGCTTTGGCCTGTCCAATTGATTCTTCCTTAACGATGACATCTTGAACGCTTTCTTGAGTCTTCAGTATTGTGTCTATACTGGCCAGCGGAGGTACGTCATCGAGACGAATATTGGACTTCTCAGCCTTGAAGAAAAAAAAACAGAGGAAATGCACAGGTGAAAACGAAATACGACAAAAATTGAGTCTCCCTATAAAACCTGCAGCGGGTTGTAATTTCACGTACGTAGCTTGGGTAACAACTGACCCTAGGGAATACAATTCAAGAAATAATAACGGGTGGCACCGAAGTTTTCTATAAAAAATCTTAATTTCAAGCAATAAAGCGACACATCTTCTGCCTTAACCTGGATGAATGTGTCTAAGATTTACAGTTTGCCTGGGGAAATTCTACTTCAAGAAGACTATATCTCTATCTTTTCTGTTGTCTAAATTAAAATCTAAATTTAAAAAAATTTATCAAGTTTTTTTTTTACTTGAAAAATTGATTCCCAGCAAGCTCGTTTTTCGTTACACTGGTGGTTTTAAACGACATTTAAACATGTCGTTATCGTCAATGTTGTATTTCTTTACCTCTTCTTTCTGTTTTCTGAGCAGGGCGGCTTCTTTCTCTTCTCTTCTTCTTCTTAGTTTTTCTCTCAGTGCTGCCAGTTGTTTGTCTTTCTCCGCCGCTAAGACGCCTTCCAACTGCGCAACTTGTCGGTCGTGATCATCCATTATCGCCTTCATTTCATCTTCACTCAAATCGCCCGAAAGTTTGTCCGCTAATTTCTCAGCCAGTTTCGTCATCTCCGCGGCACGTTTCTCTTCCTTTTAATTAAAAAACGTGAGAATTATCAGCTTTCTTTTAAAAAAAACATATAAGCCAACAAATACTTAACCTAAGGCTAGGTATAATACGTTCAAGTGGCAGGGATCGTTTTTATTGACTTTTATTAAGAATTCTTTAACTTTGCATTCTACTTGTCATAGTTACCAAATTTTTATTAAATCTGTTCTCTGTTTCTGAGCCTCACCTGTTCCTTAAGAAGTTTGTGTACAGCGGTTTCCTCGTCTCGCCCAACCTGCTGCTCAAGGTGCATGCGCTCTGCGTTCATTCTGCGTAAGAACTCGCTGACGTCACTTGTTCCTTGAACCTGCCAATGCACGCCGGGAGCCTCGCCTGCATGTACTTCCGTTACAGTTTGACCAGCGGTTGGCGGATAGACCGTAGTAGTGGAGGCACCACCACTTCCGCCCACTACCACCATACCAGAGCTTGGAAGGGTAATGTTTGTACCTGAAACCATTGCTGCAAGAAAAAAAAACGTGAGAATCGCAATACTTTTGGAAGAAAAAGTAAACAGCTTTGCTAGCAAGGCATGTCTTAGTCCGTCCGGCAGCCGGCCAACCAGCCAATTAGCCACAAACAACATCAGTTCTATCAACTAGGTAGATAGAGTCAGTCATACATGCAGTTAGACAGTCGTCAAGACAATCATTCAGTGTTACACGCAGCCAGTCAGACACTCATGCATGCATGCAGTTAGTCAGTCGCTCACTCAGTAATTTAGCCTGTCAAAGTCATACATGCAGTCAGTCAGTCAGTCAGTCAGTCAGTCAGTCAGTCAGTCAGTCAGTCAGTCAGTCAGTCAGTCAGTAAGACAGTCACTCAGTAAGTCTTGTTTTCAATCTGCCTCCCATTTCTTCCTTACTTCCCTCGGCCCTCGTCACCTTTCCATCACTTCATTACTCATTATCTGGTTCAGTAGCAAACTGTCCTATGTTTACTTTCTCCAGTAACATCTGTAGACCCGCCATGAGTTCTTGTTCTCTGACTTGTCCCCCTGCGGTCATACCGTACCTCTTTCCAACCCCCACCTCCTACACCACCCACTCACATGGTGTCATACATGCAGTCAGTCAGTCATGATCAGTCAGTCAGTCAGTCAGGACTTCTCTCAACCTTTCACCCATTCCTTTCTTAATTTCCTTTGACCATCAGTGTATCGTTCAGGAAGTTCGTCAGTCTATCTCTCCACCACGTGATTATACATTACCTGGTCCAGTAGCAAACTGTCCTTTCTCTACTTTCTCCAGTAACATCTGTAGACTTGCCATGAGTTCCTGCTCTCTTACTTGACCCCCTGCAGTCAGCCCGTATATCTTTCCTCCTTCACTTCTTACACCGTTCACATGGTGTTCCTGAGGAGATTCCTTCAATGAAAGTACAGAGATTAAAAGTTATTTTGCGATCTCTTTGACATTGTATGTTTCCTAAGTGCCTCAAAAAACTTCCATACTAACTTCTCCAACTATTAGAGGGCAACTTTAAATTACCAATTGATCGTTTGCATAATGCCATAAACGCAAACAATTGTGGTGGTTGAAGTACAAGGTAAAGGAAAGATTCTTCAGTACTCGCTTCTGCTTAAACCAGTCTGGCGCTCTCCAACTTGACTACCCCCAATAGATGTTATCAAGCGTATTTTTGGTTATTTGTGATGAGATCATCGCACGTGGTAATGTACATTTCTATCACTACTGTCGTTACAGTCGTCATCATCATCATCATGATTTTTCGAAACAAACGGTGAAACAGTCCACTTAATCTTTAACCCCTAATATCAAAATACACATTTTAAACATTGTTCTCTCCATGTTGTATATGCCATAAATTGTTTAATTTGATCCTCTTTGGGAGGGGAGGGGTGGGGGTTAGTTGACTCACAGGTGAGGATCTTACTGGAGATGATACCAGAATTGAGTTGAGTGTGTTGTTGGTTCTCGCTCTTGTAATGAAGAGTTTTACCCCTCTTCCAAATTCCAATTCAATCCAGAATGGTTGGCGAAGAACATCACCTTTCTTTCTTTCTTTATTCATTTCATCTTAATTAGAAAAATTTCAGTGCTCGACATACCCGGCCAGCTCTGGCTGCTCCAGCCTCTTTAGTCGCTTTAATAAGAGCAGACACGTCCATGCTATCCAACATTCCTTTGAGCTTCTCAGCTTGTTGACTAATCCGATCATAAAACGCTCTCAGGTCCGCCTGATGACGTGCCAGCTGGGACGATACATGGAGAGTCTGATCCTCCAGTTTGTCGTATAGCGTGCGGACGTTGAAGTTTTCAAGCTCAAAACGAACATTCGGGGAGTCAAATGAAGCCCCCTCGGGGGCTCCCCGAGGGCCCAGGTCGTAGACATGGTCATCAATTCCTGGTGTCCAAAAGGAGAACGTTTACAATGAGAGTCAAAGGAAGTTTAAGCAACTTTAGACTATTATTATAGCGAATTACAATAAAGTTAGGGTAAGTCAGTAAGCATTGGGGGTTGTTAACGTGATAGATGGTTTCATAATGAAATTAGTGACAGCCTTTAGCTGAATGAAAGCAAATGAGTAGTTTTCTCCTATGGTAGTGTCTATTATGCTTTACAATCTGGTTCTAACTGTTGGGTTTGCGGATAAAAATCTCTTCAGCAATACTTTCACATGGTGCTATTCGTTGTAAGTATTTTTCAAGAATTTAATTCTGAATTTCCTCGACGACCGAATTTTCCCAATTTTGTGCGTTACATGGACCATCTATATTTATCTTTTAGGGACGGATCTAGGGGGAGGGGGTGGGGGGGGGGGCGAGATGACCTGGGGGTTTTGAATACAACTGGTATTCTGCAAAATATGCTGATATGTAACGCATTCTCAGCAGTTCACATTATGTTATATGTAACGCATTCTCAGCAGTTCACATTATGTTACTGCCTAGTCAAAAGCCTTCTTCTTCGTATTCGCTCTTAACATTTATTTACGTCACCAGTCAGTTACGTCATTCCTTAGCAGTGTACCTCGTCCTAAGAAAAATCCTGGATCCGCCCCTATCTTTACTTAACAAACCTGGAATGGGCACAACTGGTATGGGCGCTCCAAGAGCTTTGTATTTGGGCCTGAGTGTTCGGATGGGGTAGCGTCCAATGCTCTTGGGGCGCCAGATAATGACAGCGATAACAAGCATGATAATAACGACCAACATGAAGATTGTCATGCCCCAGATCACACCCCAATTCGGCTTCAGGTTCTGAGGCTAAAAATTAAACAATAAAGAAAACAAAACTACATTTAATAAAACGTCACTTTCGTTCAATTTAACCCTTTACTCCTGTCGTCAATTAAGTCGTAACTTTTGGAGTCCGTGGACTAAATCCTGTAGTGTTACTATTCAAATGAAAGCTACTAAGCAGTACACTCCTGTGGTACTGTTTATTATGGCAAACGTGAATTTGTACCACGTGATCAGTTTTCCCCTTAATTGTCGTTTACTGTTAATTACTTCTACCCAAAAATTAGTAGTTTCACGCCAGTTTTATCTATAAGAATTGTTCTGGACAGTTTTTATCTCCTAATTTTTTATTCTGAGAAATTCTTAACTTGAATCTGACGTTTGCCGTTTGCTGTAAACGTGACTCTTAATCTCTCTAATGTTTCAACTATACCGTGTTTCTTCATAACTGACCCTTTAAACAACTACACTTATGGAGTCAATTAAGTTGTAACTTATGAGTCCGTGTATGGAATCCTAATGAAATCCTATGGTGTTACCATTTAAATAAAAGCTACTGAGAAGTACTTTCGTGTGGTAATGTTTACGTCCTTACCTCTTTATTGCTGACTCCAAGTTCGACTAAAACGCCTTCAGTTATGGGCGACAGAATGGTGTCTGGGCAGCTGCTGCCTTGCTCCTTCACTGTGACAAACGTCTCTCGGAACGGCTCGGCGTTATCGTAGAACACAAAAGTTCCATTTTGCGTAAACACGTGCATAAAGTACGAGAGACTATTGTTGGATTCCTGTACCAGCGAGTGGAGCTGTCTGAAGTTACCTGTACAGAGGACGGGAACATGTCTCAAACTCGAGAAGTAACAAAGAAGAGAAAATCTAACCACCACCCGGTTAGCTCAGTTGAGAGAGCGCCTGTCTGTTGCGGATTCAAACCCTGGCCGGACCAAAACTTTCTTATTTAAATAACTGAGAAGAAAGTGCTGCCTTTGTAATAACATCTGCAGACTTTCTAGTCTTCTCGGCGGATAAGGACGAAAACCGTACATGTAGGTCCCTTCTCACAGCACTTTCAAATATCTGTTTCTTGTCGCACATAAAAGAACCCACACCATCGTTCGAAAAGCGCTGCGGACGTAGACCCCGGTGGTGTAGCCAACCTTTCCTGGGCTGGGTGGGTTGTCTGTAAGGATAGATCTTAATGATCGTAAGGTCCTAAAGACCATTTGAGAAACCATGTTGAGGTCCCGTCCACACGTATGCCGATACTTCTTCATACGGAGACGGACTCTTTTTTCCGTTTCAACTTTCCGTCCACACGTAAACGGCGTTCTCGGATACCAAAAACACATGTTTAGGAGAAGTGTCCGCAGAGTTGAATTTTTTAAAAACGCCGGCTTATCGCTTTTTTTTTGTGGACGGACGAAAACTGAGGTTTTGGAATACGATGACGTCATACATTATACAGCGCATGTCCTGTAAAAGACACTACCGTATTTCTTGGTTTTAGCGTTTTCATGTTCACGGGCGAAAACGATTCTAATACGCTACGTGTGGACGCGTATTTTTTTTCTTAAACGAAATAAAAAATTTCCGTTTACAAAAATATCCGGATACGTTTGGACGAAGCCTTTATGGTTGGCACAGTATTTCACTGGATATCCAGACAATTGGTGGGATTAAATACCAAATAATAACGTGCTTGACATATTATTTTTCAAGTTAAGTCACCTTTGTCTGGTCTCTATACAAGTCATTTTCACCAAAATAAACAATTATTTCGATTCATACCATAATCAAACTCGCCATTTGTGTTCATCAAATGATTCTTGCGATATCGCGGGTAGTGGCTAAGGCTGCGGTTTATCGGGTTGATTTCAACCTTGAATATTAGCGCTTTGCCATAAGTCAGGCAGATGATTGGATTGGCGATGGTACTTCCTACAGGAGAGGGTGTGCTTGTCGAGTTATCCCCCAAGGCGCGACGTCTTCTGCGAGCGGACTGCGAGTTGGGCTCAACAACACTCTGGACTTGTGAAAGCTCTCCCGGAGCGAAAGCCGACATTTTGTTAAGAGAATCGGTGAAGATGAACTCAGCGGAGTGTAACTCGTTATCATGGTCTCCAATACCCAATTCCGATGTGATGTTGAAAGTTGCAGAGTCGCCATTATTGTCAGTACAATTCATTGATAAGACCCCGTCAGTATTCCGTTGAATGTAACATTTAACTCTTGTCCTCTCACAAGTGTTGTTACATTCAGTTGTGTGTTTACAGATACAGATTCCTTCATCGGGGCTGAATGCACCCCCCGTTTCGCCTTCTTCTTTACATTTGTTGTCGCATGCTACACTCTCCGTCTCCGGATCGACACACTGCCAGTCAGAAGCGCGGTAAACCTCACCAGTCCCACACCGGTCTGCATCCTAAAAATACGAAAACGAAATATTTAGTTCGTAACGCTCTCAGGTCCGCCTGATGACGTGCCAGCTGGGACGATACATGGAGAGTCTGATCCTCCAGTTTGTCGTATAGCGTGCGGACGTTGAAGTTTTCAAGCTCAAAACGAACATTCGGGGAGTCAAATGAGGCCCCCTCGGGGGCTCCCCGAGGGCCCAGGTCGTAGACATGGTCATCAATTCCTGATGTACAATAAGATAACGTTTACAATGAAAGTCAAAGGAAGTTTAGGCAACTTTAGACTATTATGGCGAATTACAATAAGGTTAGGGTAGGTCAGTAAGCATTGGGGGTTGTTAACATGATAGATGGTTTCATAATGAAATTAACGAGAGCCTTTTGATAAAATCTTACATTGGGACTAGTTGAATAAAAGCAAATGAGTAGTTTTCTCCTATGGTAGTGTCTATCATGCTTTACAATCTGGTTCTAACTGTTGGGTTTGTGGACAAAAATCTCTTCAGCAATACTTTCACTTGGTGCTATTCGTTGGAAGTATTTTTCAAGAATTTAATTCTGAATTTCCTCGACGACCGAATTTTCCCAATTTTGGGAGTTACATGGACAATCTATATTTATCTTTCAGGGACGGATCTAGGGGGAGGGGGCGGGGGGCGAGATGACCTGCGGGTTTTGAATCCAACTGGTATTCTGCAAAATATGCAGATATGTAAAGCATTCTCAGCAGTTCACATTATGTTACTCAGCAGTTCACGTAATGTTATTGCCTAGTCAAAAGCCTTCTTCTTCGTATTCGCTCTTAACATTTATTTACGTCACCAGTCAGTTACGTCATTCCTTAGCAGTGTACCTCGTCCTAAGAAAAATCCTGGATCCGCCCCTATCTTTACTTAACAAACCTGGAATGGGCACAACTGGTATGGGCGCTCCAAGAGCTTTGTATTTGGGCCTGAGTGTTCGGATGGGGTAGCGTCCAATGCTCTTGGGGCGCCAGATAATGACAGCGATAACAAGCATGATAATAACGACCAACATGAAGATTGTCATGCCCCAGATCACACCCCAATTCGGCTTCAGGTTCTGAGGCTAAAAATTAAACAATAAAGAAAACAAAACTACATTTAATAAAACGTCACTTTCGTTCAATTTAACCCTTTACTCCTGTCGTCAATTAAGTCGTAACTTTTGGAGTCCGTGGACTAAATCCTGTAGTGTTACTATTCAAATGAAAGCTACTAAGCAGTACACTCCTGTGGTACTGTTTATTATGGCAAACGTGAATTTGTACCACGTGATCAGTTTTCCCCTTAATTGTCGTTTACTGTTAATTACTTCTACCCAAAAATTAGTAGTTTCACGCCAGTTTTATCTATAAGAATTGTTCTGGACAGTTTTTATCTCCTAATTTTTTATTCTGAGAAATTCTTAACTTGAATCTGACGTTTGCCGTTTGCTGTAAACGTGACTCTTAATCTCTCTAATGTTTCAACTATACCGTGTTTCTTCATAACTGACCCTTTAAACAACTACACTTATGGAGTCAATTAAGTTGTAACTTATGAGTCTGTGGATGGAGTCCTAATGAAATCCTATGGTGTTACCATTTAAATAAAAGCTACTGAGAAGTACTTTCGTGTGGTAATGTTTACGTCCTTACCTCCTTATTGCTGACTCCAAGTTCGACTAAAACGCCCTCAGTTATGGGCGACAGAATGGTGTCTGGGCAGCTGCTGCCTTGCTCCTTCACTGTGACGAACGTCTCTCGGAACGGCTCGGCGTTATCGTAGAACACAAAAGTTCCATTTTGCGTAAACACGTGCATAAAGTACGAGAGACTATTGTTGGATTCCTGCACCAGCGAGTGGAGCTGTCTGAAGTTACCTGTACAGAGGACGGGAACATGTCTCAAACTCGAGAAGTAACAAAGAAGAGAAAATCTAACCACCACCCGGTTAGCTCAGTTGAGAGAGCGCCTGTCTGTTGCGGATTCAAACCCTGGCCGGACCAAAACTTTCTTATTTAAATAACTGAGAAGAAAGTGCTGCCTTTGTAATAACATCTGCAGACTTTCTAGTCTTCTCGGCGGATAAGGACGAAAACCGTACATGTAGGTCCCTTCTCACAGCACTTTCAAATATCTGTTTCTTGTCGCACATAAAAGAACCCACACCATCGTTCGAAAAGCGCTGCGGACGTAGACCCCGGTGGTGTAGCCAACCTTTCCTGGGCTGGGTGGGTTGTCTGTAAGGATAGATCTTAATGATCGTAAGGTCCTAAAGACCATTTGAGAAACCATGTTGAGGTCCCGTCCACACGTATGCCGATACTTCTTCATACGGAGACGGACTCTTTTTTCCGTTTCAACTTTCCGTCCACACGTAAACGGCGCTCTCGGATACCAAAAACACATGTTTAGGAAAAGTGTCCGCAGAGTTGAATTTTTTAAAAACGCCGGCTTATCGCGTTTTTTTTGTGGACGGACGAAAACGGAGGTTTTGGAATACGATGACGTCATACATTATACAGCGCATGTCCTGTAAAAGTCACTACCGTATTTCTATCGTTTTAGCGTTTTCATGTTCACGGGCGAAAACGATTCGAATACGCTACGTGTGGACGCGTATTCTTTTTTAACACGAAATAAAAAATTTCCGTTTACAAAAATATCGGGATACGTTTGGACGAAGCCTTTATGGTTGGCACAGTATTTCACTGGATATCCAGACAATTGGTGGGATTAAATACCAAATAATAACGTGCTTGACATATTATTTTTCAAGTTAAGTCACCTTTGTCTGGTCTCTATACAAGTCATTTTCACCAAAATAAACAATTATTTCGATTCATACCATAATCAAACTCGCCATTTGTGTTCATCAAATGATTCTTGCGATATCGCGGGTAGTGGCTAAGGCTACGGTTTATCGGGTTGATTTCAACCTTGAATATTAGCGCTTTGCCATAAGTCAGGCAGATGATTGGATTGGCGATGGTACGTCCTACCGGAGAGGGTGTGCTTGTCGAGTTATCCCCCAAGGCGCGACGTCTTCTGCGAGCGGACTGCGAGTTGGGCTCAACAACACTCTGGACTTGTGAAAGCTCTCCCGGAGCGAAAGCCGACATTTTGTTAAGAGAATCGGTGAAGATGAACTCAGCGGAGTGTAACTCGTTATCATGGTCTCCAATACCCAATTCCGATGTGATGTTGAAAGTTGCAGAGTCGCCATTATTGTCAGTACAATTCATTGATAAGACCCCGTCAGTACTCCGTTGAATGTAACATTTAACTCTTGTCCTCTCACAAGTGTTGTTACATTCAGTTGTGTGTTTACAGATACAGATTCCTTCATCGGGGCTGAATGCACCCCCCGTTTCGCCTTCTTCTTTACATTTGTTGTCGCATGCTACACTCTCCGTCTCCGGATCGACACACTGCCAGTCAGAAGCGCGGTAAACCTCACCAGTCCCACACCGGTCTGCATCCTAAAAATACGAAAACGAAATATTTAGTTCGATAACTAGTAATAACCAAAAGTTACGGAGTGCCTTTCCCTTTTTACCAATAATTTAATAACAAAAAAGTTAACAAACCAACGGCCGACAATCCAGGTCACTATTTCCCTCTTCTCGCTCTTTGGTGGACGGATCGTCAAACACATATCGCAAAATGCACGTACAGGAACCGTCGGATACTTGAAAAGACCGAGATTGTCCTATGCACTGACACCTTGCTTGGCCTTCTTCAGACAAAGAGGAGCTACCACATGGAAGACAGGCCCTTTGATTTGGTAGAGGGTTAAACGTGTTTGTCGGGCAGGGATAGCAGTCTGAAGCTTTCGTCGCTAGAGATCGGTTACCATAGGAACCAGGAGAACAAGGCTGCGCCTCTCCAACACCCGCTGGACAATATGAGCCCTCGGGACAGGGATTCGCGGTGGGACTTTTTGTGCCCACTGGACAGAAATAACCGGCCGGACATTGATCACAGAAGCGACGCTGCGGGTCGTTGCCGTAGGTTCCTGCCGGGCAGACCTCACAGTGTTTTTCATGCGAGTCTCGCAGACCAGAAGTGTTCAAGGCTTTGTATCCCAGCTTACAGGGGAGCTCTTCAGTGCTGTTTGGCGGACAGTAGTCAGGGTAGTAACAGAGGGTGGGAATCTCTGATCCGTTTGTACAATAATGACCACCTACAAATAACAAAGACGGTTAATAAAACCCCACTGCTGTTCGCCCACGGCTCACAGAGTCAACCTTTCGACTATTATCCTTTACACCTGTGAAAGAAGTTGTCTGGTCTGACCATTGAACTAAGCAGTGCTTCCCTGTGGTAATGTCCATTATACTGTAAAAGGTGATTATAACTTTTGAATTTGTGGATGAAAGCCTTAAATATGACCATTTAGAAAAAACATATTTAGCAGTATTTGTAATGATACCAATATTTTTAAAAGAGCTGTACATAGTGAAATTTTTACGTTTGACAGTCTTCGAGATCCACTGTAAAAAAGTGTGACCATTCATATGAAAGCTACCGAGCAGTACTTTCCTGTGGTACTGTTTATCATGCTGTACAAGGTGGTTCCAACTTTGAGTCTTTGGATGAAATCCTAAAGTGTGACCATTCAGATGAAAGCCACTGAGCAGTACTTTCCTGTGGTACTTACTATGCTGTGCAACGTGGTTATAGCTTATGCTTAAGTGTGACAATTTAGAAAAAGACCTTTTTAGCAGTATTTGTGATGATACCAATATTTTTAAAAGAGCTTTACATAGTGAAATGTTCATGTTAATCTTCTTGAAAATTGACAGTCTTTGAGGTCCACTGTATTGTGGTTTATCTACGTACCTGGGCAAGGTTTTGGTACTTCTGTTACTCCAGGGCAAAAAGCACCTCCAGGACAAAGCGTCTCAAGGGAAGAGCCAAGAGGACAATAGGTTCTGTTCCTACAAGGTATCCCTTGCACATTAATGGTATCATGAGGACAATAATGACCACCTGGACACAAGTCGCATTCATTTCTACTTCCGGCTCCTGGTGTCAAGCGGCGACGCCCTGCACCACAGAGACTGGGACCCAGCTGACTGGGACAGAAATGACCGATAGGACACTTGCTGTTGTTATAATTCACCATTCCAGTGAGATTGCACCAATGACCTGCTGGGCATGGGAAGCAGTCGTCCAGGTCTTGACCCCCCGGAATGTCTCGGTATCTATGAATAGGACAGTCAATCGGTGCTTGTCCTCGTGGGCAGTACTTTCCGGGTGGGCAGGGTACACCATTCGATGTTCCTAAAAATGGCATAAACAAATGTCATAGCAATTACAAATGTAGTCTAACCTCCCCCATGTACGACCACCTTTCGTAAGCGACCACCTCCCATAAGCCACCATCTACCTAAACACCTGCACTTTCCCAATAAAAGCCCTGTAATAATTTCCCATTGTTTAAAAAATCTTGTAGGTGACCACTTGACCAATTGTCTGATCTCTTAGTTTGCAGTATGCATTTTTGGTCACGGGTTCGACTGCATTGTGATGACCCACTAGGGTGCTGCAACATGGATTTCGGCTACTTGGGAAAGTGTAACAATTATAGTCTTGAGACTCTTTATCATTCTTTACAATGATCACGCATGATAATAATAATGATGTCATGACGACGGTGTCACGTACAACGACAAGAACGATATGATGGCGAATGGTGAAGACCACGCCATTGGTAATTTCATTGATGCTAATGGCGACAGTAATGAATATGGTTGTTATAAAAATGATGATGATGATGATGACGATGATGATGGTGATGATGACGATGATGATGATGATGATGGTGATGATGATAACGATGATGACAATACACTATAACCCTTAATGACAAGCCAATTACCATTCAAGCAAAATTTTCCAGCCAGGCAAGGAGTACAATCGCTGACTATTCCATAGCCACCTGTGTAATTCTTCATTGTGTTATCCGGACACGGGATAGGTAGAAGTGTTCCATTAGGACAATAATACCCTTCCTGACAAGGCCCGGCCTCCACTGGAAACCAGTATTCTATGGAACAAGAAGAGGAACCATTTATGAAGCTACAGCAACAGCTTACGGCATAATCACGCCTAACATGTCTGTTATAGGCCCCTACCCACAACTGGGTATATCTATACAGTCCAACCCTGTTAATACGAACAATAATTCAGCATATTGTTTGATATGTTCGTCACTTTGTTCTTTTTTGAGGTCACAAATACTGATACTGATACTGATACTGATACTTTTGAACAAATCACTGTGTTTTTCGAATTCACCTTGACTTCTCGACATTCTAGAGGATTTAAGCTTTAACGGAATGAAGAAAACATCTTTTAAGGCTGCAGACGGTTGCAATACCAGCGAATTTTTTTGAGTGACGCACGCGAGCCGGAAGTTGGCTTTTTGCATTCTTGGGCAGTGTTTTCACCCTTATTTTTTGGTAAATCGTCTCTTTAAGAGCAGACGCTAAGCAATGCAAATCCTGTAGCATCAAGGCATATTAGAGACCTTTAGATTCTAAGACGAGTACGACTACGAGTACGAGATTTTCTCAATACTAAGTAGTGTACGCGTTTGAGCCAGCGTCATTTTGGCGGGAAAACGTGGTAGCCGTCGTCATTCTACAAAGAGTTTTCGCGCGAATGTCGTGGTGGCGAAAACAAGATATCAAATGTTAGAAGTTTTATCATTTTGCGATCGGGAGAGCGCGTAACCTCCTTTACTGAAGATAACAATGCTAACTTCTCTAGTGAAAAATGGTAAAATGAAGCTTTCCGGGAAGTCTATATTTTGAGAAGACGCGAACAAACTTCATGTCAAATCTCGTACTCGTAGTCGTCCTCGAATCTAAAGGTCTCTATTAGAAGGGAAACGAACTCACTTCCGGTTGACGCCTCTGCTTCAACCTCCCTAATTACTACTTAAAGAAGCTGTGTCACGAAATTCAGCCAAATTAGGAAATTAAAAAATGCCCGTTAAATTAAGAGAAACATAAAAATAACCGCTTAAAGAAAAGTTAAAATAACACAACAGAAACAACAGATGCCACGGATGGGCAAAACTGAAGAAGATTGAAACGGATTGAAATTATGGTTTTTTGAAAACTGTTCAGCCTAACAGTTTTTCAAAGTTGATTCGTGCTGCTTGCAACTTTGTTGCTTGACATATTAGTTTGTCTCGGATCTCTGACTTTGTCATTTACATTTAATTTCTTGCTTACTTTAAGTTTCATAGCGATTGAGGGCGAGTAATTGGCAAAATTAAACAAAATGAACTGGACTGCCGTGACACAGCCCCTTTAACTGTATCCCAGGGCACACGAGCACATACCGTGTAAGCAGAACCGTCCTGTTCGACAATTCGAACAATTCCCACTACTGTAATTACCAGTACTGTTATTCACACAAGGAGTGATGATGATAGAGTCAACAGCATTCCACACCCCAGTGGGGTTCGGGTCCGGACTTCTGCTCTTGCAGTAGTACCCACCATGACACGGTCCGACAATCTGACCTAGCCGGCAATAAGAGCCAGTAACACATGGCAGACATTCGTCTGCACTGGCTAACTTAGTCATGTTGTCGTGTGTGTAAGTGCCGTTAGGGCAGAAAAGTGGTACAGTAGTGGCCTCAGGACAGAATTGTCTAGGTGGGCATGCTTTGGGAGTTGACGTTTTGCTTGGACAGTAGTATCCGGCGGGGCATGGATCGCAATCTTTTTGCCCTTTATTAATCTGGTTGTAACCTGTAACAAAAGTGTAAAGACGGAATCCATCAGGAAATTGAGTAATTTTAATTTTCAGTGGACAAAAACCTTGTACTAGAGTAATTTAACCAATATCGCATTCTTTTTTGCATTTTTCAAGGGCTATAGATGTAATTAGTTATCTGTAATAACACCAAAGACAATTTCTTATGAGAGCCCAAGAAAGTTAATGTCAGATTTCAAAAATTGACATCTTACACATGAAATATTCAGCAATTTACCTGTGTTTTCACACTTCTTGTGAAATTTGACATTTATTTTCTCGGGCTCCCGTGAGAAATAGTTTTTGTTGTTATTCCAGATACCAAATTGTATCTGTAGCCCCTGAAAAATGTGTAAAAGAATGCGATATTGTTGAAATTATTCTGGTACAAGGTTTTTGCCCACTGAAAATTAAAATTCCTTAATTTCCTGATGGATTCCTTTGTAAACTGTATAAAAATCGAGAGAAATATAATAAGATAAATAAGAGAAGAAGTGGGCCTACTACGTTCCATGTTTAAATGAACGCAATCTGTTGTTCTCATTTCTGCTTTTTTTTAATTCTTTTTTTCATTATACTACAACAGGAAAAATTTCTGCAATTTGATTGGCTTAGAGCAGTGGTATTTCATCTTAATTTGAAATACCTACATGTGAAAATTACAAACCTTTTGCGGGTAGTAGTATAAACAAATAATAGCATGATATGGAAGTGATATTTGGCATAAATACCACTGGTGATATTTCAAAATTGTCTCAAATTTCACTCGCCTAACGGCTCGTGAAATTACGTTAAACAATTTTGAAAAATCACTCGTGGTATTTATGCCAAATATCACTACAAATCATGCTATTAGCTCTACAAATTTTCCGCAATTTTATGTTGCTATAGCAGCATTTCATGACGTGACCAGTGGATAAAGATAAAACTGCCTGCATTTGCGTGACCTTATCCTGTAAACTAATTTACCTAAGGTCAACAATAACTTAGCCACATGTTACAAGTCAACCCAGCAACGATATACATCTACAAACCTGCACCGCATTCGATTGGGTCAGCGGTTCCCTCGGGGCACTTATGCGCCTTAGGACACAAGTATTCGGAGGGCCTGGACACATTGGCTCTGGACCCTTGAGGACAGTAATAACCATCTGCACAAGGCCCAGTTACAAAGGAATTACTGTAACCTTTGCAGTAAAAACCAGGAGTGCAATCAAGACACTCATCTTCAGAGCGAGCTTTAGCCACCTGTGTAATTCTTCATTGTGTTATCCGGACACGGGATAGGTAGAAGTGTTCCATTAGGACAATAATACCCTTCCTGACAAGGCCCGGCCTCCACTGGAAACCAGTATTCTATGGAACAAGAAGAGGAACCATTTATGAAGCTACAGCAACAGCTTACGGCATAATCACGCCTAACATGTCTGTTATAGGCCCCTACCCACAACTGGGTATATCTATACAGTCCAACCCTGTTAATACGAACAATAATTCAGCATATTGTTTGATATGTTCGTCACTTTGTTCTTTTTTGAGGTCACAAATACTGATACTGATACTGATACTGATACTTTTGAACAAATCACTGTGTTTTTCGAATTCACCTTGACTTCTCGACATTCTAGAGGATTTAAGCTTTAACGGAATGAAGAAAACATCTTTTAAGGCTGCAGACGGTTGCAATACCAGCGAATTTTTTTGAGTGACGCACGCGAGCCGGAAGTTGGCTTTTTGCATTCTTGGGCAGTGTTTTCACCCTTATTTTTTGGTAAATCGTCTCTTTAAGAGCAGACGCTAAGCAATGCAAATCCTGTAGCATCAAGGCATATTAGAGACCTTTAGATTCTAAGACGAGTACGACTACGAGTACGAGATTTTCTCAATACTAAGTAGTGTACGCGTTTGAGCCAGCGTCATTTTGGCGGGAAAACGTGGTAGCCGTCGTCATTCTACAAAGAGTTTTCGCGCGAATGTCGTGGTGGCGAAAACAAGATATCAAATGTTAGAAGTTTTATCATTTTGCGATCGGGAGAGCGCGTAACCTCCTTTACTGAAGATAACAATGCTAACTTCTCTAGTGAAAAATGGTAAAATGAAGCTTTCCGGGAAGTCTATATTTTGAGAAGACGCGAACAAACTTCATGTCAAATCTCGTACTCGTAGTCGTCCTCGAATCTAAAGGTCTCTATTAGAAGGGAAACGAACTCACTTCCGGTTGACGCCTCTGCTTCAACCTCCCTAATTACTACTTAAAGAAGCTGTGTCACGAAATTCAGCCAAATTAGGAAATTAAAAAATGCCCGTTAAATTAAGAGAAACATAAAAATAACCGCTTAAAGAAAAGTTAAAATAACACAACAGAAACAACAGATGCCACGGATGGGCAAAACTGAAGAAGATTGAAACGGATTGAAATTATGGTTTTTTGAAAACTGTTCAGCCTAACAGTTTTTCAAAGTTGATTCGTGCTGCTTGCAACTTTGTTGCTTGACATATTAGTTTGTCTCGGATCTCTGACTTTGTCATTTACATTTAATTTCTTGCTTACTTTAAGTTTCATAGCGATTGAGGGCGAGTAATTGGCAAAATTAAACAAAATGAACTGGACTGCCGTGACACAGCCCCTTTAACTGTATCCCAGGGCACACGAGCACATACCGTGTAAGCAGAACCGTCCTGTTCGACAATTCGAACAATTCCCACTACTGTAATTACCAGTACTGTTATTCACACAAGGAGTGATGATGATAGAGTCAACAGCATTCCACACCCCAGTGGGGTTCGGGTCCGGACTTCTGCTCTTGCAGTAGTACCCACCATGACACGGTCCGACAATCTGACCTAGCCGGCAATAAGAGCCAGTAACACATGGCAGACATTCGTCTGCACTGGCTAACTTAGTCATGTTGTCGTGTGTGTAAGTGCCGTTAGGGCAGAAAAGTGGTACAGTAGTGGCCTCAGGACAGAATTGTCTAGGTGGGCATGCTTTGGGAGTTGACGTTTTGCTTGGACAGTAGTATCCGGCGGGGCATGGATCGCAATCTTTTTGCCCTTTATTAATCTGGTTGTAACCTGTAACAAAAGTGTAAAGACGGAATCCATCAGGAAATTGAGTAATTTTAATTTTCAGTGGACAAAATCCTTGTACCAGAGTAATTTAACCAATATCGCATTCTTTTTTGCATTTTTCAAGGGCTAAAGATGTAATTAGTTATCTGTAATAACACCAAAGACAATTTCTTATGAGAGCCCGAGAAAATAAAAGTCAAATTTCAAAAATTGACATCTTACACATGAAATATTCAGCAATTTACCTGTGTTTTCACACTTCTTGTGAAATTTGACATTTATTTTCTCGGGCTCCCGTGAGAAATAGTTTTTGTTGTTATTCCAGATAACAAATTATATCTGTAGCCCCTGAAAAATGTGTCAAAGAATGCGATATTGTTGAAATTATTCTGGTACAAGGTTTTTGCCCACTGAAAATTAAAATTCCTTAATTTCCTGATGGATTCCTTCGTAAACTGTATAAAAAATCGAGAGAAATATAATAAGATAAATAAGAGAAGAAGTGGGCCTACTAAGTTCCATGTTTAAATGAACGCAATCTGTTGTTCTCATTTCCGCTCTTTTCATCTTAATTTGAAATACCTACATGTGAAAATTACAAACCTTATGCGGGTAGTAGTATAAACAAATAATAGCATGATATGGAAGTGATATTTGGCATAAATACCACTGATGATATTTCAAAATTGTCTCAAATTTCACTCGCCTAACGGCTCGTGAAATTACGTTAAACAATTTTGAAATATCACTCGTGGTATTTTATGCCAAATATCACTACAAATCATGCTATTAGCTCTACAAATTTTCCGCAATTTTATGTTGCTATAGCAGCATTTCATGACGTGACCAGTGGATAAAAGATAAAACTGCCTGTATTTGCGTGGCCTTATCCTGTAAACTAATTTACCTAAGGTCAACAATAACTTAGTCACATGTTACAAGTCAACCCAGCAACGATATACATCTACAAACCTGCACCGCATTCGATCGGGTCAGCGGTTCCCTCGGGGCACTTATGCGCCTTAGGACACAAGTATTCGGAGGGCTTGGACACATTGGCTCTGGACCCTTGAGGACAGTAATAACCATCTGCACAAGGCCCAGTTACAAAGGAATTACTGTAACCTTTGCAGTAAAAACCAGGAGTGCAATCAAGACACTCATCTTCAGAGCGAGCTCCCGTGCTGTTACGGAAAGTGCCTGGAGGGCATCCAGCCGGTGCTTGGGTTCCCTGTAGGCAGTAGTGTCCTGTGGGACATGGGCCATTTTTGGGGTACTCAGGTATTGAAGTGGGAGTAGAAGTATTGGCTTTGCCTTCACAGAACCAACCAGCAGTGCAAGGACCTTTGGGTGTAGTTTGAGCATAATCCTATAATTGAAAGATTATATGAAAGTATATCATCGCAGTTATAGACGCAACTTTTGTAGTTGCGAAAAAAAAAGCCTGCAAAAAGATTCAGGCTTGTACGGGATACGAACCCTCTACCTCTGCGATACCAGTGCAGCGCTCTACCAATTGAGCTAACAAACCTATTGGGAGCAGGTCGTTGAATTGGTTCGTTATAAACCCGTGAAAGGATGATGATGATGATTGTTAGATTAATTTGCCTGGCAAATGATGACTCTAACTAGTTGAAGGCTGAGTTGTTGGCTAAACTCAACTGTTCACACATCTTTTATGTCGACTATATACCACTTAACATGAGAGTAACATAACGTCCTTGAGAATAGCAAGGAGCATGTCAAACTTAGGTCACCAGGCGACTTACTTCCATCCGCAACTACAAATTGCGCTACGCTGAGTTACCAAGACAGACCTATCGGCGCCAAAAGTAGCTAATGAAAATTGATGTGCCCAATAACGTTCAATACCAACCAATACTGTGCATATTTCTTACCTGGCAGAAAAATCCAGCTGGACAGTCAGTGCACATATCAACTGTGGACAGTCCGCTGCGATTGCCGTAGGTTCCAGGAGGGCAGGGTTTCAGTGTTCCATCCGGACAATAGTAACCGGCTTTACAGGGTTGGACTGACGACATGTTCTGATATGGACACATATTGCCTGGACCACATGAGATACAGCTTCCTTGCCCCTCATTGGGTTGATAAGTGCCTGGTAGGCAACTAAGGGCTGTAACGTTTCCTGTTGAACGTACAAAAAGATTCATCACATCTATTCAATTATCACCGATTATTAAGTGGTCATTTTCACGACAAATTGGCAAAAACAGAATACACTTAACATATCAGCCTTTATGACTTTTTTCATGAAGCTAGAAGTACAAAGACAAAGCAAAGGACAAAACGGTATTAATGAAAAAAAAACTGTATGTTTTGTATAACAACCCTTTAAATCAACCTAAAATATCCCCTCCCCTGATGGCATTGTAGAGACCATAACACGGGACTAAGAGGTTTCTAATTTCATCTCATTTCTAAGACTCTCTCATACAGTCAGTTCCATCCAACTGATATGGCTGCTCTTCAGAAAGCAGACTATTTTAAAGGTACCTGAAGGACAGAAGAAGCCTCTTGGGCAAATGTATCCCATGGATGGATGTGTGGGTGTTGGCGTGCTTGATCCCCCTGTGCAAATGAACCCAGCGTCACAAGGTGGAGCAGTGCCATTCAGAGTACCAGAGCCATTGCAGTATCTCCCTCTGGGACACGGTACACATTGTGATCTGTTAGCGATGCGTCCTTCGTTGTGGAATGTACCAGAAGGGCAAGGTTCTGGGTCAGAACCGTTGGGACAGAAGTGCCCTGGAGGACACGCATCGTTCAAGAACGGGAACGGGAAGCTAACATAATCTGCATAATTCTTCGCCAGAAGGTCTTTCTCTGGTCCAGGTGATTTGGATCTCTTAGTACAGTAGTGACCGCCATAACAATCTCCCGATGGCTCTGTCAAGCCTTCTCTTCCACAGTACTTGCCTCGTGGGCAATCGGTGCAGTTTCCAATGGCCATCAATCCTAATCTGTCATTATACGTACCTACAATTTGAAATAAGGAATTCGCTCTGAAGACATTAAAAGTATTTTGCTGATGTTTAAGGTTTATGTTATCGTGGTTTATAAATGGTTTCTACCATCTCTACTGCATAAAAATTTGAGCCCCAGTGAGATATACTAACAAGATTTTGTTTCCCATAGAAACTATGATGCGTTTGGCATTCTCAGTTCTAGAACAGTCGCTAATCCCTGAACGAACACCTCAGTAGAACAGACACCTACAGAGTTTCATTAATAATTCAACTAGCAGGAGAAAGGTTAAATGTTACAGGAGAATATTTTGAAAGAGGCTCCACGTCTGAATAAAAAAAAGAGGCTAACGAGCGTTATACCGAGAATTCTGCGAAGTAAACGAAGAATTCTCCGTTCTCCGATACCTAATGAACACCATGTACCGAGAGTTGGTCTCTGCCTTTCTTTACGTCCTTTAGTCCTTTATTTTTTATAAGACAGACATAACTCTTAGACGGACACTCAGTGCCGCTCCCAGGTGTCCGTCTTAGTGAGAGTTGACTATACAACTTTTAGAAACTTTCTTCATAATAACAGTCGATTCATTCTAAGACGGACACCTGTGGGAACGACACTATGTGGCTGTCTAACTTCTTACAGGTTACCCTTCTTTCTTTTATACTTACGTTCTGGGCAGGGGAAGTCACGATAGTTCCCAGTGCCAGAAGGACAGTAATAACCTTTAGGACAAAGTGTAGCATTCACAACCGCAGAATTGGTAGCATCGCAGTAATAACCATCTGGACACGTCTTGCAAGAACTCTTGCCTTGCTCATTTTGGAAAGTGCCATTTTCGCATCTCACTGGTTGAGCTGTTCCCTCTTTGCAGAAGTGACCTGGTGTGCATAGATATTCTGATGGTGTTGCTGTGCTTTGACCACCTGGACAGTAATACTGTGGAGCACATTTGTTGGTCGCGGCAAAATTCCCAGTTCCTGCACAAAAACTGCCTGGAGTACAGTCTCTACAATCCCGCAGTTCTGTGTTCTTTGGGGTATTAGAGAACTTACCTGCAGGGCAAGGCACCGGAATACCTGTTCCTGATGGACAGTAGTGTCCAACTGGACAGTCAAACTGGTCGGGCACAGTAGAGCTGTCATTGCAGTAATACCCTGCAGAACAATTTCCTTGGGGCGTGGTCATGGCCGCATGTGGGCAATATTGACCAAGTTTACATGGAAGAGGACGATAAGATCCCTGGGGACAATAGTGGCCCGCGGGACAAATGTCACCTGCAACAAAAAATTAAACAACAGATGATCGTGACGCAAAATAACTTGTTTTCACGTATAAAGGAAAAACTAAAAACTGCTGAGTTTAAGATGGAAATAGCACCAGATGAGTTACAAACCGCCGCCACGCACGTAAAGGTTCACCATTGCCTGTTTGTGTGTTTGGAATTTTATGTCTGTGGATGAGTCATCAAGTTTCTAACACTTAAAGTTAAAATATGGCTGCAACAACAGAATTTACCTGTTGTCTTGTTCCATGCTGGGCAAACACATTCAAATGCAGTGTAACAGGTGTCTGCAGGGCTTGTCGCATTATCATAGTTGGGTGCACCAATATCTCCAGGTCGCTTAGACCAAGACCCACCGGAGCAGAAGAATCCCTCATCACAAAGTCCATTGGGCCACACCCGTCCATATCCCTCGCAGTACTTTCCTGGGTCACATAGTTTACATGCCGACTCTGATGTCTGGTCAGTTTCATTATTGTATGTGCCTGGTCTGCAAGGATGCTGTGTGGCAAATTCTGTGCCATTTGGACAAAAGTGTCCCTTGGGACAAGCCGCCGGGGTGACTGTGGTACCATTGCAGTATTTACCTGGAAATAAAAGTTAAGAGGAAAGACGTCTAGTAAATGCTGAATTTGTATTATGCTATCAATTATTTTTTTCTGAAAAATATTTTCTTCTCTTTTGCTCTGAGTTTATTACGGGGTTCGAACATTGCATAAAGGCAAAACAAACGGACACTAGTCGTCGACTACATTGGTTAGGCCACAGACATTAATATCGGCACTTGGTGTTCTAGTTTTCCTGTCGTTCGAAATACCATGGTGATAGTCATGGTAAGGAAAGTGCTGCTCCAGTTTATACCTGATGGTAATGATGGCATCAATGAACAAGATTATGACCACACAACCTACCTGCAGGACACAAGTCACATGCAGCCATTCCTGGTACAGCTGCGTAATATCCAGGGTCACATGCATGGAATGTACTGCTTCCTTCTGGACACTCATGCCCTACAGGGCATATCCCTCCAATGCCAGTGTAATGCACATCTGGAGCACTTACATTCACTCCAGATGTGCAGTAGAAACCTACAAGAAACAACAAACCAAACATGAAAACTCGACACCTCTTGACAGTAGGCTGATTTAGCAACAGGACGGAAACGTCATTTGACGACGGGAAAGCGCGCGGTAAGGACTAAACACGCCTTCCGGTGCTCAATTTGCGCTCTGCCATTGGTCAAGACAGTTGTTTGATTTGCGCGCGCCCTCGTCAACTGACGTTCCCGTTCTGTTGCTAAATCAGCCTATTAACTCGTTTGGTGTGTAACTGTGTTTCAGGATCTGTTGTGGTTAACTATTGCGCCACTAGTGTGTTGCTTGGTGTCTTCACAATTGATTTTACCATACTTATAGTTCTTGTGTTACTAGTGTGTTGTCTTCCGAATTCATTTATTATACTTAAAGTACACGCAACACGGAAACGCGACAAATTTAAAAATTAGCCAAAATTATTGGAGAAGAAACAATGTACATACATTTCTATGTAAGGACAGATGCATATATGACCTAGACTAGGCCCTGTGCTCCTAGATAGCGCGTCAGGTGACTACAAATGTAATACTAACCACTTTTACATAGTCCAGTCACGGTTGCACGCCCACTAGTCTCACAGTAGAATCCACCTGGGCACTGCGTGCACTCAGACTCATTTGCCAGGCCAGTCCTGTTGCCAATAGTACCTACAGGACAGGGCTGAGTATCGTAGCCAGTCCCTTCCGGACAGTAGAACCCAGCAGGGCAGGGATCAGGAAGAACAGCTTTAGTGCACTGATATCCTGCAGGGCACACGTAGCATGAAGAAGCACCTAACGTAGAAAATGTGACATTCATGAGCCTAATTCAAAGAATCATTACATACATAAAAGAAAAAATAAGAATAACATTGCCCAGAATCTCTTTAAGGTGCGTGGAAAATTGCATTTCTCATATCTACATTTTTGTTTTGAATTATTTTTGTTAGAATGACTGCCTAACCACCACAACTGTTGTTAAACTAAGGACACAGAAGATTGTGAACTACCAGTTAATCGCCATCAACAACCATTTCTTGCAATTTATGGTACAGTCTGTATATATCAACTTCCTTTGGTTTGGGGGTGGGTCGGAGAGAAAACATCCAGATTGTCCAGCCCTCCAAAGCATATCTCATTTTCAAGAAAATGTGTCGCTAATTTCTGAGAGGTAATAAGGAGTAATATCTTTCATCTGACACCAATGTAACAACAAACCTGTGTGATTCATGTACGTTCCGTTGTAACACGTCTGTGGTTTGAAAGAACCTTCAACACAGAAGCTGCCTTTAGGACATATGTCTCCAGTGATCTTGTCCTGAGGGTTGCTCTTGGAAGCATTACCAATACAGAAGAAACCACGCAGGCAATTACCACTTACAGCAAACAGACCGGTTTCATCACAGAACTTTCCTGGATCACAACCAACACAGTCTTCTACTCGCACCTTGCCTCGACTTGGCTGGTAGGTTCCTTTGGGGCACTGCACAGGAGATGGCGTACCTGTGGGACAGTAACTGCCATTTGGACAATCTGTGCCATAAGGTTGATCTATAGGCATTTCTTCCGGAGAACCTCCTCTACACCAGAAGCCTTCACGACACTTTTTGGTTGGAACTATGTTTCCTGTTCCATCACAGTAATACCCTGCTGTACAGGGTAAGCATCCTGATACATTCTGTAGCCCAGTTAGGTTGTAAAAGGTGCCTACAAAAATGATAAGAAGCAATACACCGTCAAAAAAAATTAAGCACCATCTACGAAAGGAGCTACTAGACAATTTGCATAGAGTTAGGAATTTTGTAAGATGTATCATACACAACACTATTCACTAAGGTCGGTTGCGATGTGGCAATTCCGTTCTGTACGAAACTGGGTTCTATAGATTTAGTGCCCTAAACCGTTGCTAACAGGGGGAAAACCACTAAACGTCTCTATACAACCTTAAAAGTAAGCTACATTCATTCTGAAATTTACAGACGGCCACTGATCAAGTAAGGACGTGGAACGCTTAATTCACTGTTGCAAGAAGTTAGTGTACCAGTAACTTGTAGTGAATAAAGGAAATCATACCAGCGGGGCATCCAATTCCCTCTGAAGACCCTTCAGGACAGTATTCACCCAGTCTACATGCATCGCCTGTCTTGCCGTCAGTTGGTGTTGGAGTTGTAGATCCATTGACACAGTAGTGACCTGACAAAGCATTAGATTATTAAAATTTAAGAGATATATGACTAGCGTTTAAGGTAAACTGGTGATTGCTTCACTGCACAATTACTATCTTTGGGTATGCAATGTTTAGGAGTCAAAAGAACTCTGACTCCTTCATCACCTTAAGTAATAACGTTTTACACACCTGCATTACAAGGTCCTGTAGGCTTCCTCAATCCAGTTGATCCACAGAACACTTTGGGTGGGCATGGTGTGCAATCTGACCGCCTCTCAAGCCCTGTGTCATTGCTGTAAGTGCCCGCAGGACATGGAAATTGTCTTTCTGTTTTTGTTCCAGCTGGGCAGTAATTACCGGCTGTGCACTTGGTTGGGTATATAACACCTGTAAGATTTGTAGAAGGGTCACAGTAATATCCTGGTGGGCACTCTTTGCACTGATATTGACCCTCTTCATCTTGATATTCTCCTGGAATGCAGTTCTGTGGTTGGCCGCTTCCAGTGGGACAGCTTGCTCCCCTTGGGCATATGACAGTGGCATTGTGTGTAGATCCACTTGGACAGTAAAATCCTTGTAGGCACTGAAACAGCACCTCTGTAGCTCCATGTAAGGGACAGTAGAATCCTGCAGTACAGTTCAAACAGTCTTCCACCTTAGATTTACCTGCATATGGAGAATACGTCCCAGCAGGGCATGGTCTCTCGGTTTCTGTTCCTACAGGACAATAGTAACCAGCCGTACAGTTTCTTGGATTAGGAACTACATCACCGCCATTGCAATAATATCCAGCTGAACAGTTTCCTTCTGGACTTGCAAGTCCTGTCTGGCCACAGTACGTGCCTCTGAGGCAACTCTTTGGTTCTGAAGAACCTCGGGGACAGAAGTGCCCAACAGGGCAAATACCTCCAGTAAAGTTCACCGAGTATATGGGACAGGTGAAGTCATTGGAGTTATTAAAGGTCGTATTCACATTAAGAAGTGGTTTCTTGGAATATGCACCCCTTGAACAGTACCAGCCTTCATCACAAGGTCCATCAGGATAGGTGTTACCATAACCCTCACAGTATTCCCCTGGTGTGCATGGTATACAGTTCGAAGGTTGAGTTGCATGAGTCTCATTGTTAAATGTGCCAGGTGGACATTTGAATGGAGTGGTTGTCTCTCTGGGACAGTAGTGTCCTGTTGGACAAATGCCACCGCCTTGAGAAGAGTTAACAGGATTAGGTCTGATAGCGCGAATCTGACAGAAGAATCCAGGGTCACACGAGCCATTGGGAGCAGCCAGGCCCTCAAAATCACAAAACTTTCCTCCATCGCAAGCCATGCAGCCTGATAAGCTTTGAAGTTTCTGGGTCGGGCCATAGGTGCCTATTGGACATGGTTGCGGTTTATGCGACCCTTGTAAACAGTACGAACCTGGTGGACAAGGGGCGCCTGTCAAAGTGTCATTGGGTGTTGGTACACTTGCACCCTCCACACAGTAATATCCTGCATGACACTGGTCAGTTGGAACTGTGATTCCGGACTTATGACAGTAGTAACCTTTAGTGCATTGAGTGCATTGTGCTTCTTCCATAAGCTTCGTCACATTACCAAAGGTTCCCACAGGACATGGATACTGCTTGGCCCATTTGGTACCATTGGGGCAGAAATATCCTGCAGGGCAATCAGATGGTGCAATAACTCCACAAGAGCCATTTCCTTCACATGACATGTTTTGTCTAGCTTCATTTGGATCACAGTAGCTTCCGGCTGGGCAGGTGTAGCAAAAACCTTTCCTTGAGTATGGCTGATAAGTCCCAGCAGGGCATGGATTGTGAAGTCCGCTACCCTCAGGGCAATAATGACCAGGTTGACATTCCTTGTCTGGAGGACTTTGCTGGGTTTCTCCTGCTGGACAGTAGAATCCCTCAGAACAATTTCCACTGGGGTAATCAAGTCCAAACGTTGGGCAGAACATACCGGGAATGCAGGGCTTACAATTGTTCTTAAACTGGTTGTATTCAGTGTCAGCATAAGTTCCTGGTGGGCATGCTGTTGGGTATGAGCTTTTTGTAGGACAGTAGTAACCTTTTGGGCACCTATCTCCAGTTGTTTGATTGACAGGATGACTATAAATAGTGCTACCATTGCAATAGTGACCAGCTGCACAGACCCCAGACTCACTGTCTAGTTTGTCAGTCAAACAGTAATATCCTGGCGTACAAGGCAATGGTTCATGAGATCCTGCTGGACAGAAGCTGCCTTTCTTACAAAATCCTCCAATTTCACCAATCAGTGGACAGACAGCGGTACCATTTGCTATGTCGCTTGTGTTTAGAGGCCTCTTCTGCCATGACCCACCAGTACAGAACCAACCACCAGCACACAAACCTGATGGCTGAGGCAAGCCGCTAAACTCACAATATTCTCCAGGAGGACAGATTGTGCAGTCGAGGACATTATCACCCAAGGTGACATTCTTGTAAGACCCTTTTGGACATGGAATAGCTGACGCTGAGCCGTTGGGGCAGTAGAATCCTTGGGGGCAGTCAGTAACATTTGTCGAAGCATTCGGACAGAAATAACCAGGAGGACAAACAAGGCATTCACTTTGTGCCCACCGAGAATTGTACTCACCACCTTTGCAGGCAATTGGATATTGAGAACCACCTGGACAGAAGTGGCCGGGTGGGCAAGGACCTCCAGTGTCTGATACATTTGGTTTTCGAGAGGCTGATTTCTCAATACAGTAGTAGCCAGGATCACAAGGGCCATTTGGCCAAGTTAAACCATCTTCTTCGCAGTACTGCCCACCGGGGCATTTCTTACAGTCGGCAAAAGACGTTGCATGGGTTCTGTTATTATAGTAGCCAGCAGGACAAGCTATTGGGGCTAGTGGGTCACCCTGTGGACAGTAGCTTCCTGTGGGACAAATTCCTGCATCACCTCTGTTACCGCCAGATGGTTGTTGTTGGTCAGAACCATTATGGCAGAAAAATCCCGCATCACAAAGTCCTGAGGTTGCTGTAGCATTAAGGAGAGCACAGTAGTGGCCTGGATCACATAACTTGCATTGTTCTTCTCTAGAAAGGAACTCAACTGGACTGAAGGTTCCTCTTGGACAAGGTCTCCAGTCGTGTCCCGTGCCAAGTGGACAGTACCAGCCTGAAAAAGAACAAGTGAAAGATACTCTTATTTTCTGTTGACTTCCACTGGGAGGCTTTATCAAAATCTGTACTTCAAATATGTAGTTAAAACCATTTTTAGCAAGATCGTTACGTGACGTGAAGAACAAATCTAAACGGACAGCTCAAATTTAATTAGGATTTTTGGGTTACAAAAAAACTAGGACATTGAGAGGATCTAACAACGAAACAGTTTCCTTAGTTGCTGGAGCAAATTTCAAAAGATGCAGATTAAGTGAAGAATACAATTAGTCCATACCTGGCGGGTGTAGAAAACGCAATTTTTTGTAGTTGTGACTCATATCCTTATTTCTTACTCACTTTCAAGGGGGAGGGGGGGGGGGTTCTTACCTGCAGGACAAGGTGCTGGATAAACTCTATTGATACAATAGTACCCGGGTGGACACGTGTAACACTCAGCAGCTTGCGTGCGGTTCATGTACGTTCCTGGAGAACAAGGAAGAGGACTGGCTGTGCCAACAGGACAATGATGCCCAATCCAGCAAACATCACCTGGAAAGAAAATTTTGAAAGGTTCCGTTTGTTATAGAAGCACAAACTCTCATGCCAGGTTATTTTGTTGGGGATATGAGCCTTCTAATTCCCAAACAACGTGGGACTGAGATTGGGTAGGGAAAAAAAACTATTACGTTGCAACATTGTAAAAGATCAATCAAAAGATACAAGACGTCACATCTCAATTTTTTTATTTGCAGACGTAGTTCGGACCACCGTGAAAAATGTATTAGCTTAAAAAGTAAGAGCTCCTTTGATTGCTCCGCATGAAAAACAGTACTAAAGGCCAATGTTGCTCAACAACAGCTACAGTACTTACCAGTAGTACCGTCTGTTGGTTCACTCACAGAGGCATTTTGTTTGCAGAAATACCCTGAGGAACAATTCCCAGTTGTTTTGTTGAGACCATCAATAGCACAATACTCTCCTGGATCACAACCCTTGCACTCTGCTTGGGAACCTAGCTGTTCTGTGGGGCCGTATGTACCTTTCTTGCAGGGGATAGTGACAGTTGTGCCAGCGGGGCAGTAATGTCTGCAGGAAAGAAAAGAGAGAAAATCTAACGCAGTTCCTTGCAGTTCCTTCCTATTTAGGTATAACGGTTCATAAAGATTTTTGGTTCAAATATCCAAGATTTTCCAAAACAATATTTTCTTTTTCCAGACTCAAGTTTATCAAATAGGCGATCAATGGAGCAGGAACGAAAGTCCCATTTTGTCTCATGATGTGCTACAGACGTACAGGCGAGATTGAGCAAGATTTGACAAAAACGATAAAAATTCACATTATTAAGCATTTATTGGGGCTTTAAAAAAATACTCAATACTTTTTACCATTTTTTCAGACTTGACCTCTATTTTCCAGACCTCTTCCAGGTCTGAAAAAATTGCTGGGCAAATTTAAAGACTTCTTCAAGAATTCAAGACTCTGTACGAACCGTGAGGTATGGCAGTGACAGACCAGGCAGTCTGCAGTGACTGTACCTCCACCTAAACTTAGTTCCAACGCGCAATTAAAATCCTTACCCAGTAGGACAAATTACACCAGTTGTTCCATCATTAGGAGAGGCATTGTCAGCACCGCCAATACAGTGAAACCCAGGTGAACAGTCATTTGTCCAGATTTCATTTCCCTCCCCTGCACAATATTTGCCGGCTGGACAACTGGTACAATCACTGACATTCTTACCATGTGTCTTGTTATTGAATGTCCCTAAAAGAAAGAATGAGGAACAAGATTTTTTCAAAACCTGATGATACACGACTGCTAGTTTTGCGAACAGCTTCAAAATTTCTGATCAAGATCAACTCATTCTTGCACTAAAATGTATGAATTCGGGTTTTTTAAAGACGTAAAGTTTAGCCGTGTTTTTATCAGATATGAAGCATTCATTAAACATTAATTTCTTTTGAGTTTTTCGAAGGCTCTGTAAGTGACAAGAATAGGTAAAACCAGACTATGGTTTCAATGACATGAGCTAAAAATAAAAAAACTTGAGGTTAAAAGATAATTGCAATGCTTCCTCCCAAAGTAGATACACCATTAGCTTAATCTGTTAAGTTTCACTGTCGCACTTGGATATTGTATCGCGGGTGTGAGGCATGACTTTATTACTAGCAGGCTATCCGTCATTTCCTTACATTCAGTGTGGCTGCTCACAACACAACAATCAACGTTTCTGTACACTTCTACTCGTTCTCAGTGTTTGTTTGGTTTCACAGAAATCGGAGGTACTGTTACAAGAAGCTGCTCAACATTGACGAGACCACAAAGTTTTTGAATCTTACTTTTATCATCAATCATAGCTTAACCTCTTACCTGCTGGACATTTGTGTTCACGTGCAAATTTAGTTCCACTTAAGCAGTAATGACCTTTGATACATGGGCTTGGGAATTGCACGCCGTGGCTACAATGTGTTGCATTGAGAATTGTTCCATCACAGTAAAACCCTTCGGGGCAGGTCTTGCATGATCCCTGTTGGAACTCATCTTGGTATTTTCCGCTCTCACAAGGCACCTGATAAGCACTTCCAGCAGGACAATGATGTCCTGGGGTACAGGTGTACTCTGGTGGAGTTTTTGTCTTCTGCCCACCTGGGCAGTAGTAGCCTGCATCACATGGTCCTGATGGCTGCTCCAGACCTCTCGCCCCACAGTAATACCCAGGCATGCAGGCCAGACAGCTACTTATATTTTGATTGGCAGTAGAATTTGAGTAGGTTCCCTCAGGACACTTAACTGGGTCATACGTTCCAGCAGGACAGTAGTGACCCATGGGGCAAACGCCTCCGGTAACATTATCTGTTGGAGCAGCAAATCTGGCTCCCTCTTTGCAGAAGTAGCCAGCGTCACAAGGACCTGTGACATTAGACAGCTCAGCAACAGCACAATAGTGACCTGGAAGTAAGATTCAGAACAGAACAGTTTATTTCTAAGCCTTTGCTAAGAGCGAAAAAAAAAAGGTCAAGTACTGATGGGGGTTAAGTATCAGTGGTTGAAGCGTAAATCATCCTTGAAGGACAAACTGTTCGACTACACTTTCTGTTTTCTAAATTGGTGCTAGGAAACGAGCGGAAAAGTAACTCTTTAAAGGACGACACCATGTTAAATAGACACATCAAAAGTGGCTGGATGGTTCTGACTAGCAGTTAATTAGGTGTTTGCAAGGTAATGACCAAACCGTACTGTGACCTGAACTCTTTACTGTCTCCTACAACAAATTACCTCTCAAACATGGTGTTGGCTCACGAGAACCATTAGGACAGTAAAACCCTGGCTGGCAGACTCCTCCTGTAGTTGTATTGGGACAGAAGCATCCCATTCCACTTGAAGAATTACAGTAACCAAGGACACCCACTTCAGTTGGTTTATTAGACCACGCTCCCCGTACACAGTACCAACCCCCTGCACAGTCCCCACTCGGTTTTTCAAGGCCTGCTTTGTCACAGAATTTGCCTGGCAGACATGGTGTACAACCACTGCAAGAGAAAAGTATTTGACAGCAAAGTTTTTAAAATCTTTAACTCCTTATAACTCGCTAAATGCACCACACGGGATTTGTCCTCCACCCTGAATAAACCATAATCTCACCATACTCTAGCTCTAATACTTAATACAGAGAATTTTCTACCAGAAGCCCAAGCAATAATCCGAATTTGTTCAAGATTTTATCATCAATGCATTATTAGTAACAGGTATCAGGAAATTGCAATCAATTCACATTAAATGTCTAGTGACTGGTGTCAATTTGTCAAACGCACATAAAGAATGCGAATATAAGCAAGAATCGTTGAGCAATAAGAACTTAAATTAAACACAATAAACTGCTACCTCATGCTTTGCCGCCTTGTCTCATTATTGAAATATCCCTTGGGGCATGGATTATCAAATGGTGCCTCAGTTCCCACCGGACAATAATGTCCCACTGGACACTCCAGAACACATGCTGTTGAGTTGGATGGACAGTAGAACCCAGCACAACAAGATGTGCAGTTTGCTTGGCCAGTGCGGTCATTGTAGCTACCAGCTTCGCAACCAAGTGGATATGAGGTTCCTGCTGGACAGTAATGCCCCACTGGGCATGGTCCTCCGGACTCTGTCACGCTTGGTGGGTTAGGCACCTTCGATCCCTTGAGGCAATAGAAGCCAGGGTCGCATGGTCCAGAAACATTTCTTCGTCCAAGTTCTCCGCAATAAAATCCCTCTGTGCAATTTTGACACTGATATTCATTTTCTAAGAACTGTACATTGGAGAAAGTTCCAAGTGGACAATTTTTGGGTTCGCCTGTGCCCAGTGGGCAGTAATGGCCTTCTGGGCAAGGACCAGAATCTGAGCTTGCATTAGGTGTTGCTGAATCGGCACCACGACGGCAGAAGTAGCCAGCAAAACATTCTCCAGAAACAGCAGTTGCATTCTCGTGTGCACAAAATTTACCAGAATCACAAGGGCGACAGCCTGCAAAAAGTAGATCAGGGGTCAATTTTATTAAACTTTTACTAGTGTAGATATTGTTTTCAGAGCCTAAAAGAATGGCTACACTTGTAAACTACACTTGTAAAAGTTTTATTAAATAGATCCCAGAACAATACCTTAACATCATGTGAATACGTTGAATTACATATTGAATTGAATATTCTGAGCAGCACTTTCATTTAACCTTGACTGGCAAGCCAGTCCTATAGACGTACTATGTACTGTTTACTTGTCCACAGGTTCTACTGTGCATATCATTAACAACCTATAGTCAGAGGTCGCAATGTGGTAATCTGCTAAAAATTCAGTCGTATTGTTCCAGGAAACAAAATTACGGTCAACTCTCGCCTTGCGCACACCCCGATAACACGGACAGCAGCTAGATCCCTGGCAACAATAGATTAAAGACGTTTGACTGAAATAATCTCCCGCTATTACGGAATCTCGCTAATGAGGACACTAACTCGAGGTCTCTAGAGTGTCCGCTATAAAGGCAGTTGACTGTATAAGGAATAGTCGCTAAATAATCACTGGCAATGAATTTTCTGAAACGTCATAGTAAAAAATAATATCTAGTGCACTGACATCCTACACGCCTTAATGTACTTACTTGTCGCATTTGATAATCCAGATGCATCTCCGTACGTTCCCTTTGGGCAGGGCTTCCAATCAAAGCCTGTTTTTGTTGGACAATAGAATCCTTTAGGGCATGGCTCTGGGTCTTGACTCTTATCGTTTACACAGTAAAACCCAGCAGGGCAATCTAGACATGCATCAGCAAGAGGATCCTTCATGTATGTTCCATCCTAAAGTAATCAGAATATATTGTTACACTGAGCACTTGTTTGACTAGTTGAGACAAGGGAGGGGGGATTGGGGGAGACTAGGCAACCACGAGGGCGGAGGAAAAGTCACTTTACAGTCGACAGATTTGCCGAGATCCAAAAATATATTTCATTAGCAACTGATAAAAGCAGACTAATTAATGACCATGTTACACAGGTCAAATTTGATTTCAGACTTATTTTATTTTAACCAAGGTTGATTCACAGTTTCCTTTATCTCCTAGCCCTGGAAGACCCAGGAAATTGAGAATCAACCTAGGTTAACAAATATAGAGGAGTATAGCGATAAGTTAAAAAGTGTAGAGAAATGTTCACTATTCTCAGGCCTCAACCATCACATACCTCACATGGAATAGGTTCTGGTGTTTTTCCCGGACAATAATGTCCTGGGGTACAGTTCCCTCCAGTAATGCCATCTTGAGGGGCTGGATGCTCTGCCCTTCCTCTGCAGAAATAACGCGGCCAGCAGTCACCACTAGGCGCTATAAGTGCGCTTCCATTACAGAACAAGCCGGGTGTGCAGTTTGTACATTCATAAATGTTCCTGAGTCCTAAAGAGTTGGAAAATGTCCCAGGAGGGCAACTCTCGGGAGCGATAGTGCCGCTTATGCAGAAATGGCCTTCAGGACATTCTTCACCTGTGGAACCATCGGTCGGGGTAGGTGTGTGTGAACCAAGTCGGCAGTAATAACCTTCTTGGCAGTCTCCAGTAAACGTTGGTGATGAACCTGTGAAGATATTAAGTAATTAAAAGAACGGATTACAAATCAATTGCTCTGTTTAGGAAGCTTTTTACTTATATTAACTCTTTCAATAAAACGAAGAAAATTCCCGTTAAACGTGGTCGCTAGTATCAAGGGTGAGCTCATTAGAGGCTCGAAACTGATTAACGTTTTAGCGCCTCAAACTGACGTAATATTACATTACAGAATTAGGGAGTGTGTATTAGAGGTTGGAGGCTAGGACATGGAAGTAAGGTGTGTTCTATTTGATTTGACTTTTTAAATATTGACTGTTATGACACAAATACTGATGACCCAGACGTACTCAATGCGGCCAAGAAGTAAGGACAGAAACAAATAATACATATCGACATAACAAATAAGAATCCCATTTGGTCAGAGAAACTGAACTCAGGACTGAAATCAAATGCCGTAAGCCAATTAGCCATAATACTACCTTCATTTGCCATCTTACCATAGCAGAATTTTCCAGGTGGACATTTGACACACTGATCAGGGTGGAAGAGCTGTGTACCATTTCCATGAGTTCCGTTTGGACAGCCAAACTCTGTGGCATATCTCGTTCCATTAGGGCAGTAGTACCCATTTGGACATGGGTAGGGTGTGAAGTCGCTTAGGTCATCCTTACTGTCACAGTAATGACCAGCAGGGCAGGTCTTACAATAGTCTTGTTGTACTTCATCCTGGTAGGTTCCAGATGGGCAATGGACTGGCTGAGGACTTCCTTCTCGACAGAAATGCCCCGTAGTACATGACAGCCTCTTATCTATTGATTCACCAGCAGGACAGTAATATTTTGCTGAGCAAAGTGCAGTAGGCTTAGTTAATCCCATAGTTTCGCAATATGATCCCTCCGTACAAGCGGTACAGTTGTCCTGATGGCTGTTTCCCGTGTTATTTGAGTATGTTCCTATTGGGCAAAGCTGCGGAACTTTGGTACCCTTGGGGCAATAGCGCCCTGGTGAGCAGATATCCCCAGTGATTCCATCCGATGGTCGAGGCACCTTAGCTCCGCTAGTACAAAACCATCCTGCATCACACTCTGCAGTGACTGAATCCTTTCCTTTGCCAGCACAGTAAAACCCTCCTGTACAAGCAGTTGGCTCATGCGAACCCTGTGGACAGAAGAAGCCTTCTTGGCATTCTCCTCCAGTAGAATTTGCAGGGCACAGACAGTCACCGGAGGTGAAGTTATCATAGTCCTGAGGTTTATCTGTGTAAGCTGCATTGACGCAGAAATAACCAGCCGCACACGGCCCAGTGGGTCCCGAGAGCCCTGATTCATTGCAGTATTTTCCACCAGGACATGGTGAACAATCTGCCACACTCACACCCTTTGTAGCACCATTGAAATAGCCTTTGCTGCAAGGAAACTGTGTAGCGTATTCAGTGCCATTGGGGCAATAATGGCCCGTTGGACAAGGGTAAGGATTAAAGTCTGTGGAGTTCTCAGGACAGAAGTAACCTGCTGGGCAAGTAAAGCATGTGGCTTCTCCTTCATTGGGATTGTATGTTCCTCTTCGGCACCCTAGAGGAAACGCTGTACCGAGTTCACAGAAATGGCCTTTTGGGCAGGGTCCTCCAATGGCTGACACACTGGTTGGTCTTGCTGTGTTCGAGCCTCGTCTGCAATAAAAGCCTGGTGCGCATTTCCCTGATGGAAAAAAAATGAATAAACAGAAGCACGTCAGAACTTAGACTGGACTGGAAACACAACAACTTAATGACTAAAAATGGGGTAATGAGGGAAGGACATACATCGAGTCCTTGCCTACCTGTTGGTTCTGTGAGGTTTGACTGCTCACAGAAATGACCATCCGAGCATGGCGTGCACTGGTCTACGTTCACTAGCTGGGACACATTAGAAAATGTACCGTTGGGGCAGCCTATGGGTTCAGATGTTTCTACAGGACAGTATGCTCCTGGAGGACAAACACCACCGATGCCACTGAAGTTCTGACTGGGGCGAGGAGTGTTCACCCCTGAAACACAGAAGAACCCTGCTTCACAGTCACCAGATATGTTACTTGGGAACGTTTCAATTCCAGCACCACTGCAATACTTGCCAGCAGGGCAGGGATGGCACTCATTTTCACGAGCGAGACCCAACTGAAAAACATTAGTAGATACAAAATTAAAACGAACTACAGGTAAAAAAAGATGAACGTGATCATCTGAGTTATCTGGCAACATTACCATTGTGATCTGAGAATGCTGCAATTCTGGTTTGCAAGCACATGACAAGGCGGCCATGTGGGTGACCAATATAAAAATTTTTTTTTTCGAAACATTTACATAAAAATGGAGTTTAGGTCCCGAAGGGGTCAAGTGCTACCAAACCAACATGGCTGCCCGTGACGTTACGTGCAAAACCAGCAAGCTACCTTTTTGCAAACTTTCCTTATTATTATAGTGGTTTATGCCCTCAAGGGCTCTAAACTCAAATTATTACCTCAAGGAAATATGAAAAAAAAAATTAACATACGTTAGTACATGTGCTTGATGTGATCACAAGATAGATTTTGATAATTACGAAGTTTACCTGGGGATTGTATGTCCCAGAGGGGCATTTTGGCTGTGATAATCCAGTTCCACCAGGACAGTAGCGACCCTTAGGACAAGGGATTGGTTTCTTGCTATCAGCTTGGGCAAAATGAGCACCATTGCAGTAAAAACGTTCTGGGCATGGTAGACATGTTGCAAGTCCTGTGACGTTGCTGAAAAACAAGCGCAGTTAAACGTTTACTGAAACGAGCTCAATTTGTCAAATATGGAACAACTTTTGTGGAATTTGATTCCTATGGAGCGCATCCAAATTGAGAAGAGAAAGAAAAAGTTGTCGTTGTGTGTTCTTAAAGTCTCAATAAAACGTGGCGTAGGAAAGATTTACCTGGAAGTCGTACAGTGACGGCAAAGAAATGCACCAAAGTAAAGAGTGTGATACACGCACATAATCGTTGTTGTTTTCCTTATTAAACCTACTGCTTTTTGACGTTTTTATTGCCGTTAACGAAGCCAAGACCACTCTTCTTAACATTAAAGCTATTAATAGTTAGCGGATCACGGATTATATGTTATTGACCAACCTAAACTGTTCGTATACAACAACTTACAATACAATAAACTGGACTGCCATTTGATATCATGTAAACATAACGGTAACAACTGGGAATCAGGTGCATGCGTTCTTAAAAAAATATCACTATTATCATTTTGCAACTGAAAAGGTGTGGAGATATATAGGGATACCTGTAGGTTTCTGGTTCACAATCCTTGAATGTATTGGTTCCAGTTGGACAGTGGAACCCAGCTGGGCAAATGTTCCCAGTCACCCCATCCAAGGGTATAGGTGTAGTTGCCTTACTGACGCAATACCATCCAGCCCTGCAGATACCGTTTGGCGCTGTTAGGCCTTCGCCTGTGCAAGATTTTCCAGGGTCACAAGGGATGCATTCATCTTCTCTTTCCAGTCCTGTTCTATTGCTGTAGGTGCCGTTTGGACACGGATTTTCATACGGCCGTTCACTACCAACTCGACAGAAGTAACCAGGGGGACACACCCCACCATACGTTATGTTTGAAAGCAGTGAGCCATTATTCTGCAAATAAACACGGGCTTAAATGGGCGGTTCTATGGACAGTTTTAGTTATTGTTAAGCTTGAAGAGGCCATACGTTTACTAAGTATATTTCTGTCTAGGACATAATGCATCGAGTTTCAAAGGAATAGTTATTTACCTGCAGGAAAGCGCAGCCTTTCAACGACTGAGGTATGGTAGTTTCTTGGTGCTGCAGATGATGTTAACAAGCAATGACATGACCCAAACGATCGATTTTCAAAATTAAACACAATGAAAAGTAATTGTTTCTGCAACGCTAAGAACATTCTCACTAGGAAATCTGCAACAGATAAGTACACTACTGACTGCGTCAAGTTCAACACACTGATAAGGACTTACGGGTGTTGGGCTTGGGGAACGACCAGTGCAGTAATATCCAGCAAAACATTTGCCTTCAGTGGCATTCAATCCTGGCTGTTTACAAAATGACCCAGCATCACAAGGCTCGCAAAAATCGATTGTAGCTTTTCCTTTATTCGGGTTAAAGGTACCCTGCAGAAAAGAAAATTGCCACCTCAATAACGTTAATTCAGTCACCAGGCGAACTGTAGAGTCTCTCGCAAGATCTCACATGATGATGAATGACTTGACTCTTTGCGGGAAAATTAGAACAAACAACCAAAAAATAGACTTGAGTGATGACGTCAAAAAATGTAATTTGCGAAATAATGGTATTGGCTAAAAATGGTAAAAAATCAGTGTGTTAGAAAGTGTTCGAGCAAATTGGGTGGAGATGTAAGCACCGTTACGTACTGATAGATCCATAGAAATTCTTCGCAGATACGAAGGATTTACATGGCATGGGGACATCAGAACATAACGGTGCTGCTTCCCTTCAAAGTTGTTTAGGGTGTATGTGCATATTTCTTATGTAATTTCTTGTGTTTAACAGTATTCAAGAATGCAAAAGCTCAGACTAGGTTCAGTATTCCTGTTTTCTGAATACTTACGGGTGGGCATGCTGTGGGTTTAATACTGTTTGGAGGACAATAGTGGCCTGAGAGACACGTCTTTGGAAATGTCAGCCCCATTTCATCACAGAAATTCCCCTCAGTGCAATTAGTGCACCGCTCAGCACGATCACTCTGTAGACAAAAACGTGAAGGATTAAACACAAAATGCCTGTGTTTTCAAAGCATGTTAAATAAACAAGTATAGGGAAAAGGAAGTGCGGAATTTTGAAAGGAATGCTTGACGAAATAGCAAAGTACACTCTGGAGCCAAGTCAAACTAACAAACCAGACGTTAGCAGTTGCTCTGACGTAACCATTTATGAAGCCAGCCCCACTTACCCAAATATTGTCAACACACATATAGTCAACATATCTCCATTGCACATTTGCGGGCTTTGTTCATTATACTGTACACCAGTATAAATGATAGATAGATAGATAGATAGATAGATAGATAGATAGATAGATAGATAGATAGATGCTTTATTGTCTTAATACCTTGCAGCCATAGGCTGAATTACGAAAGACATTACAATAAAAGGACATTACAATAAATACATTGCAATAAAAATGTAAAAAAAAAAGTATATAAAATATAACAATAAAAAGGTAAAAAGTATAAAATTGCTACTATAACTAAAATTAATTTGTGATGATTCGCGTCTTTTGTACTGATTTTTACTTTCTAAAAAACGTAGCTAACCAGAACGTGTTTCCATTCCGTTTCAAGGCTAAGGAGGAATCTTTCATTAAACGACCTAAGAACCTTCCTAGGAGTTTGTGAAGAGAGTGCCCGGGGTCACCCACGACTTCATTGAAGAGCTTTGATGAAATCTCTTCTCTCCTTTTAAAGAGGGTTGGCAAACCTGAAAATTCTAGGGCAATTCTAGGGCAAATGGATTAAAACATTAACCAATACCTAATTTTAATCATGATATCTAAACGCGTACCTCTTGGTAAGTTCCCACAGGGCACTGGACTGGCGAGGAAGCAGCCTCACCAGAAAAGTGACCTTTGGGTGTGACAAACTGGGTTGGTGTAGATGCCCCACCAGTGCAATAATGTCCAGGGGAGCACGGGCCAGTTGGTGTGGGGTTAGTATCACCTGCACAGTAGTATCTGAAAATACAGCAAAATATAAAAGCTCAACAAACCCTTTTATTGGTATGGTGACTCCTCGCAATACAGGTCTACTAGTGGAGAGGATCATAAAATTTCACAACTTAAAGAGGCTAACAACAAGGTTCCTGAATTATTTTTTCGTTCACGTAACTATACTTAATTCTACACTGTTCTCCATCTTTTTGTGCCATTATTACCTCTTATGTATTTATTCATTTTACCAACGTTTTACTTTCAGCTTTCTTTTCAATGCAAGGTGTTCTTTATTGTTCAAAATAGTGACTCAAAATAGAACGTCCTCTTTAACATCAGCGTTCATTCACACAATATTTTTATTCAAACCCACACGGCACAATTAGCAAATTGTTGCCCTAGATGATGTGTTCACATCGTCACTTTATTTCCTGCTGCCATGTCGCTATAAAACTCCCCGGTGCCAGGCTCTCAGTTAGTACGAACGTCGCGAAAATAAAACAAGAAAAACGAAAATAAGACCCGCGCGATCTGGAGAGGAGGACGTCGCCCTCTTTCCCCAGCTCCCGCGCGTTTTTCGCATCACTTTTCTCTGCACGACTGCACATGGAGCCTGGATCAGTATATTCTGAAGCAAAATGGAGTACCCTCAAATACGTACCCAGGATCACAGGTAATGCAGTCATCAGGTTCCTTATTTCCTTTGGTTCCACTGTATTTCCCCACAGGGCAGGGCTCAGGTGTCTTTGCTCCTTGTGGACAGTATCCTCCTTTGGGACAGAGACCTCCAGTAGGACTTCCCTCGGGGGGTGCCTGAGAGAAATCATCTTTATTTTAATTACCGCAAGTCAAAAAAGAAATCCTTTTCCCACTTCCTACCATAATGTTGGCACAAAAAGCTATCTGGTGTCTTGAAGACATCACCTTACTCATCCCTTACGCGCGGGGGAATAGAGAGCTTTAGATTCTAAGACGAAAACGACTTCGAGTAAGAGATTTTCTCAATAGTAATTAGTGCTCGCGCGTGGGGCAGCGTCATTTTGGCGAGAAAAAGAGGTAGCCGTCACCATTCAACGACTTTTGGCGAGAGTGTCGTAGTGGCGGGAACAAGTTATCAAATATAAGAAGTTTCACGATTTTATAATTGGGAGAGGTCTCAACCTTCTTCAATAACGATAACAGTGCTAACTTTTCTGGAGAAAAAAAGTACAATGTGTGGCTCGGATAACCACTTAAAATGACAGTCCCGTCTCCAGTTGGAGACGTACAAATAGTATCCCAAAGGGTACTTACGTGCTTTATCATTGACACTCTAGTAAAGCGCATTTTTAACCACTTACAGAAGTATAAGCTCTGCCACTGCAATAGAAACCGGCATCACATGGGCCACTAGGTTCTCGAAGTCCATACCCAGCACAGTACTGTCCAGCAGGACATGGGGTACACTCTTCGCTTCTCTTTACGCCAGACGAGTTTCCGTAGTAACCGCTTGGGCATGGCTGTGGAATGGTAGTACCAGTGGGACAAAAGAAACCCTACAACAAGAAAAAAAAGGATGTCTTTAGCATAAATACAGTGTACTCTCTCTAAGGGCGAACGCCATTGTGACCTGCAGTAAATGTTCATAAGGCTAGGGGCCCGTTTCAAGAAAGTCCTGTTAATTTACGAGTTACAAACCCTATTGTTTTTGATTTTTTAAATCAAAACAATCTCCAAACCAGTCCGCTCTGTTTTGCAAACTGTCAATTTATTTGCATAACCGTCAAAACTCGACCTCGAAGCGGATAAGACCTCGAATCTTGAATGAGCACAAAATAGCTTTCCATGCCGGGTAACTCCCAGGACGTTCTAGAAACGGGTGATAGGAAACTCTTATCAAACTAGGTTGAAGACTGGTTTGATATAGGAACGGATGCTTACAAAAAATACACTTTGAGCCTCACCTCAGGACAGGTTTTAGGATCTGAAAGGCCTAATACATCACAGTAGTGACCCGAGAAGCAAACACTGCAATCCTGTACCGACACCGCAGCAGAAAGCTTTCTGTAAAATCCCACTGGACACGGATGTGTAAATCTGTAACCAGTTCCCTCGGGACAGTAGTAACCGGGAGGGCAGACATCAGCCTAGAAGGGAAATAGTGATATTCAACAAACTGCTTGTGCTCTTGAACTTTGGGCAGATGTTGGGAATATTTCACGTTCTTAATCTAGGGCAAGTTTGAGTGGATTGAATTTTCTGCCTAAATGCCACAAATCTAAAAACAATGGCTTGCTTCCCCTTCGTTAATCTCTTGTTCAAAGAGAATCTGATGTTTTAAAGGCTCCTGGAAATAATCACGTTCGTAGGCTTGGCTTTCCTCTTGCCTTTAGAAGAGGAAGAAATCGACTCTTACGCCTTTAAGGGTTATTTTTTGAATGGAAGACTTACAAATAACTCTCGGGTCAAATACGTCCCCTACCAATCAATCTTTAATTTACTACGAATTAGCAGCATTTTGACCCTATCCTTTCCCCCTTACCTCTTTCTCTAGTCCTTCAGGTTCACAGTAAAATCCTTGTGTGCATTTAATACACTCACTGACATGTTTTCGTCCTGTATGAGGGTTGAAAGTTCCGTTTGGACACTTGATTCGGTAGGCATTCTGTTCAAGAAATTAATAATGAAGGTAAGGACATTCTGCATAAAAAAAAACGTCTCTCGGCGGTGATTCGGGCTCCCACCTCCCAGACTGCGAACTTTTGTCCTAAGCATTTTTTTGTAGTCAGAGGGAGCCATGGTAAGCCAAGATGTATTTCAAGTATTGTCTCAAAGCTATATTCCATTGTTACAACCCAAAGACTGGGAGGTAGCTTAACTTTGGAAGTCATGATAATTCTGCCTCCGGTTTCCATATGATAGGTACTATCGCTGAACAAATCTCAGCGAAAACAATTAAAGACAGGCGGATCAACATAAGTTTCTGGAAAACTGTCCACCTACCCCTCCCCTAAGCCAACATTTTACCCCAGATGAAAAGCCCGTGTTAACGTTGGCCTAGGGGCAGTTTCCCAGGAACGTATAATGATTCAGAAAGGCTTGACTGAGTTTCCAAGGCTTACCTCATCTCCCCTGAGACAGTAGTGTCCTTTACTACAAGCGTGAGTCACAAGATCTGGTTTCTGAACGGTACCAGGCGGACAGTGTGTTCCAGCTGGACAAATCTTGGTGCTTATCATAACGGACTTGCTTGTTGTTCTACTATCACAGTAGTGACCTGCCTCACATGTTGTGCATTCAAATGCGCCTGGAGCCTATAATGACACAACAACCCGAAGATTGTATCAGACAAGGAAGAGCCGGCCTCCCACGCAGATCTTCGAAGGACTTTCCACGCATTCCTCTAAGAGAGGAACGCATAACAAAGCCCTAAGGAGGTCTGACTGGGAGGCTACGACAGAGAAAACTTAAATCCCGCTAATCACACGCTCATCCCTTGAGCATTAAGTCTGGAAAAAAGCAGATAAAGTAACATAGTACCCTTACATCCACCAGTATCATGTCAGGCATTTCTTACCGAATAGTTGCCAACTTCACAAGCAGTAAGTTCGTAGTTCGCTAGGTTGGGACAAAAATATCCTGCGACACACTGCTTGCAGCCTTCAAGTTGGTTCTAAAACAGAGAAAGATTACTGGTTATTTACACAGCAGCCTTATCAATTCCCTTCTAGGTGTGATGAAAGGAAGGGTTTCCTTGCTTAGAGAAAAGCACCTCATCAGATCACTTAATCTCTTAAGTGGCTGGAGGTATTATTACTTGCCATTTGATGGGGCAGGTGCTACCCTGTCACCAAACCTTTCATTCTTGTACTCTAACAGGCAAATGGGAAGAGGTATATTTCACCTTTAATGCCATCAATATAGATCCAAAAAGCAAAAAACACCCGAACCTTAGATCCCCGCTTGGGTTCATTGAAGAACCTTTTAAAANTGATGGGGCAGGTGCTACCCTGTCACCAAACCTTTCATTCTTGTACTCTAACAGGCAAATGGGAAGAGGTATATTTCACCTTTAATGCCATCAATATAGATCCAAAAAGCAAAAAACACCCGAACCTTAGATCCCCGCTTGGGTTCATTGAAGAACCTTTTAAAAGGGCAAGTAGCTAAATGGGCCATTTTTGCGATGATTCTGTAGCTGTCAAATGACGACTCATTGAGGACAAACGCGCTATTTTTCCACATTTGACAGCATGTGATAATGAATGAATGAATGAATGAAGGAATGAATGAACTGTCGTTTATGAAAGGACAACAGACGTGCCCTCTTTACATTAAGCTCGGACGTCAGCATACAATGGTGCCACTGAAAGCTGCTGTCAGTCCATTTATGACTTTACTGCCCCACCCAGCCCAAAACTATTTAATTACGAATGAAACGACAAAAAAAAAACGACTTTAAACTAAAATGTATATATTTTTTGGTGTTTACCTTTGCACCTAGTACATCATTAAAAGTTCCCCTTGGACATTGTTTTGGTACTGATGTTCCTTGAGGACAGTAATGACCAGTTGTACAAGGCACGCAATCCTCGACTCGTTCCAGTCCAGTCTTGTTGTTGTATGTGCCGGCCGGGCAAGGAAATTCATTTCCTCGTTTCGTTCCTTTTGCAGAAAAAAAAACGCGAAAGATATAATCTGATCGTTTAATATGTTCTCATTGTTTTCAAGATGAGTCATCGACTTTGATAGACAAAATACATCTATGGCGAAAAAAGCAAATTCCAGTTCTGAATCCTATGCCGCAGATGAAACTAAACTCTGGTTAAGTCCCTCTGTGAAGCAGCGCCGAAATCCTTGTGCTGAGCTCTCCACCATTGTACCAGGGTTTTAGTACGCGCCATCATCAGCCAAATCTTTCATGTACTTAACCCTGATGGGACTAATGGCGGGGAACAGAGAGGGTAAGCCTTTTCTGTTTCCGGTAGAAATATAACACTTCGTTTGAACAGACTATATATCAAAAACGCACTTTATTTGAGGACACTATTTTTCGTTTTCCAATGGTCAAGAGACAGCCATTTTACGTAGTTATCCGAGAAACGCGAAGGTTCCGCTGTTTGCACAGCAAAGGCAGTACCTTCATTTCTCAGTTATTTTAAGAATCTGAGTATTAGTCCGGTCCTGGGAATCGAACCGGCGACCTCTCGCTTTGCAGTCTATCCGTCTACCGACTGAACTAGTCCCGCCGCTGTAAATTTGCTTCATGAATCAGTTCACTCACCTGGCGGACAGTAATGACCAGTAAAGCATAAATCAGTAGGCGCTGTGCTTGCCGTGAGGCAGAACCATCCCTTGGGACACTCATAACACTCTTCTTGTGACTTTAAATTCGTTAAATTGGTCCACGACCCTGCTACACAAGGGTACTGGGTGGGACTCTGGGTTTCAAGTGGGCAGTAGTGGCCTTAAAAAGTGAAGGGAAGACAACATGAGGGTTGAAATTATCATAAAACTTTTGCTGATTTCTTCTGCTTGTCTCACGATATTAACTCATATTAGAGGGGCTAAGTATCACGTTTACAGCTAACGAAACCGGCAAAGATGGCCACGAACCACTTTCTTATGCGTTTTAGTGCATTTCCCGTTTGCCGTAAGCCGTTATCAAAATGGCAGTTGTGGTTTTTCAATCATGAAAAACTTGAGGAAGAACGTTTTAAGATGCACTATTGTCCGATTCAGTAGTAATTGTACAACCAAATCTGTCCTTAGCCGAAAACGTGATGCTTAACTTTCCTGTTGTTCGTGACATTTCGACTGCTATGTGCCAGTCTGAAGACCATGGTGTCAAATAACAGCCCTACACGCCGCAACAGGCAACCACGCAGAGCGCTTTCATAGGCTAAGTGCGGCCGCTGACCAAGCACGATAATCTCCACGGCAACTTCGCCAGGTTTCATTACCCACATTACCTTTTGCGCATTCTTGTGGGGGTTTCTGCTTGCCTCCGGTACCCGCTTCACAAGACTGTCTTTCTGGACATGATGTGCACTCTCTTGCATGTGTCAAGTCATGACGGTCAGTGTACGTCCCCGCTGGACATGCGTGGATGGTCTCATTTGGTAATGATGACCCCGCTGGACAGTAATACCCTGCATCGCATTTTACTGGTGGCCATGTCAGACCTGCATGAGGGCATGCCATGCCTGAGATACATGATCGACAGTCTGCCAGTGCTTCTCTACGAATCAAGGGGTTGTAGGAACCCTTTGGGCAGGCCACGGGCTCTTGCGTTCCTGCTGTACAGTAGTAGCCTGGAGGACAATCTTTACAATCCAACTGACCTAAGAGAAGTGTTTAAAAGACCGTCAGAAAACGCTGCATGATTCTACTTACCTTTAAATTATGTACTACACCACTATAAGAGCAAACAGTAACCTTATTTGCATTAACTCTTGTTTGCAGCTAGCCTTGAATCTGTGAAAGCTGTGCGACAAAGGAAAGCTTACTTTCCGCACACCTGACAACAGCGACCAATAACTCTTGTCTAAATTCGTATAATAACTTACGAGGGTGAAAACTCTCACATAAGGCGAGCTTTATACTTACTAGACAAAGCACTTAAATCAAAATTTCGTACAAAATAATAATCAAACAGTACTAGTTTCATTTTATTTTCAGGAAAGCACACGCTAAAAAATGCAAACAAATCAGCTTAAGACACGCAAGAATTGGAAAAAAGGAAAATATTGCCTCAAACATGAGCCCTTATTATCCCTTTCAGACCCAACATCAACATGCATCTTCTCTACACTGTTCTTCATACATTTCTTATGGTACTGCTTGAGAGAATTGGTTCTAATATCACAACAATTTATCTTTGGTGATCATTTCATTAATTCTCATTACCTGTCTGTTTGATCAGGCAGTGTTAATGTTGGGAGAAATTGGATGCAGGTCACTATCGGGGCTTAATAAAGGGTTATTGCGGGATTAACCCAATCAAAATGGCAACAACATAAGATTTCATCATCGAAAAACGGCTGAAAAAAACTTACTTTGTGCTCCCTGTTCCTCCGTGTACGTCCCAGCAGTGCATCGGTGAGCATTAGCAGCAACAGTCTTATCTGGACAGTAATGCCCTGCCGGACACAATCTGTCCCCAGTCTGATCACCGGCAGGACAGTAGTAACCAGGAAGGCAGTCAAGACACTGGTCTTGTCGTTCCAGTCCAATTTCTTTGTTGAAAGTGCCAGCTAAACAGGGGTGTTCGAATTGAGTTCGGGTGCCTTCAGTGCACCAGTGACCAGGTGGGCACTTTAATCTGCACAACGATAAATCTTTATTAGTATCAATATGAAGTTTTCAAGGTGGCTAAATATCCTTATGAAGTAGTATCTATCACTGGCCTCCTGATCATTTTAACTTTGTAAGAGGATAAACAACAAATATTCCCTCGTCTAGGTATTGAGCAGGTAAATTCCCGTGGAATAAGGAAACCATGGAATACTGTTGGTTGATTCATGGTCACGTGGCCTTGATTAAATTCAAATTTACCTTGAGCAGGATACAATTCAGTAATTCCCCAAAAGGGTTATAGCAGCACGTGATTACAGCATGGTGGAAAGTGGCGTGAAAAATTAAGGCAGGAGATAAACTGCCAGCTTTCACTTTTGTGGATGAACAGTTTAGGCAAATATGGGGACTCCTGGAGCAAGGGGTGGCGCAGTGGTGAGAGCACTCGCCTCCCACCAATGTGGCCTGGGTTCAAATCCTGGCGTCGACGCCATATGTGGGTTGAGTTTGTCGTTGGTTCTCTCCTTTACCCCAAGTGAGGCGCAAATGTTAACGTCGAGTTAGGGGAGGGGTAGGTGGGCAGTTTCCCAGGAACCTAAATTGATCCGAAAAAAATAACTGTTTCCCATGGGACCTAAGTGTATATTAACAAACGCCAGAAATGTGAGAAGGTAAGAGTAAGGGTAAGCGAGACAAATAGCTCTGCCTTAAAATAAGCAGGGTCAATTGAATATTTTAGGATAACATAACATATTATAACATCAAAGACAAACAAACCTGTGGCTGGGGTAGCCTCTTGTTCCCGCTGGGCAGTAATATCCAGCAGGGCATGCGGGACACCCTGCTGCTTGACTCGCAGCACCAGTTACATTGCCAAATGTACCTGACGGGCAAGGGTTTTCGTTGAGCCCATCGGGGCAGAAATATCCCATGGGGCATAATCCAGATGGGGGTCTCGGAGTGATATCAGAGCCCTTGCAAGCATACCCGGCATCACAAGTAGTGCAGCTGATGGCCGATTTGTTGCTGTATTCACCAGCAGGGCACGGTAAAGGAACGGAGCCTTTCATGTTGGTTTGACAGTAATGACCAGCTGGGCAGTCTATACAGCTCGTCGCAAAACCCAAGCTGTAAGAACCGTCTGGACAATCAATTGGCGAAGCTGTTATGTTTGGACAGAACGAGCCGGCTGGACAAGGGGTACAGACCTACAAACACAAGGCGAAAAGTACATTCAGCCACCTTTTACAAATAAATAGGAACCCTTTCCGCGATGTCAGTATGACGTGGTTAACAATCAGAGAGTGGTGTGGGCTGAAGACTTCAATACCCTGTAACATCGACTTTTTTCTTAGCAACTTGCTACATAATTCTCGTACAATACCCCCCTCCCTGATATGAAGGTTATCAACACTTCTTTACATTACACCTTTTTATACGACTTGCTTTCTTTTCTATAAAGCCTTCACATCGAATATTTCGAATTGTCCTGTCAATTGCCTTTTGTCGTCCTTGGACTAGACAGTGGCAATTGATTCCATTATACAAACCTTGTTCATACCTCTTCATACAGTAAGTTTCTCATTTAAATAATCCCTTTTTATGCTACTTTAGTACGGGCACGTCACATTCTACTTTCGAAGCTGAAAGACTCAATGTAGACAATAAAGTAGCAAGCGTTTTTCGTTTCAAGTATTCTGTGAGATGTTAACAAGGTTTCCCTCCTTTGTCGTATCCAAGTAGGTTTGTTGTACAGTATCAAGAGAGTTTATAAAAACAACATTAATAGCACAGCAAGTTAGCTTCTAAGGAAATAAAGGTGCTAATACACTAAGGGAGTGGGAAATACTTAGTCAACGATTTAAAAATGGAATTACAGATTACAAAGCAAGTACTTGATGTCATTTGACTTATTTTGACAGCTGCTTTGAACGAAGCTTAAGCGTTACGTACCGCTGTTAGTATTCGCTTATTAACAATTGACAATTTATTACTTATTTATTGACCTGTTTATTAAGTTAATCTCTTTTATATTAATTCGCTGCAGTAGTTAGATTTTATCATTAATACTCACACCAGATTTGGGAGGAGCATAAGAATTACTACCATTTAATCCCCCACTTTGCTGCTAGCAAAAGAAAAAGTAGCATTTAAACAGATTATATTAGTTTAATCTAAAGCTTTAACCAAATTTACGAGTTTTTTCACAAAATAAACAACATTAAAAGATGTTGATTAACAACAATTAACAACATTACAAGTGGGTAAAAAACAAATAGCTTGAAAAATAACTACAAGGAATTAACAAAACAATGAAAAACCCATATTCGCGAGGTATGCGTTATGGCTTTAGATTGACAATTGACAACGGATGATTGACATATGACTGTGGATTGAGAGACGATTTACGATCGATGATTTATGATAATAATTTATGATTTATGACAACAAGAGTTATGAGTTATGATTTTGATTTATGGCGTACAACTAACGGTGAGTGTTTCATGGTAAATAATTAACATATCTGCACTATGAATTACAAGATATGACTTGTGACCAATGATTTACGATTTTAATTTATGATTTACGAGTTATGATTTACGAGACGACAAACGTTTATGGTACATAACCAATTCACAACCATTTTCGGACCTGGCCTCTAAAAATTAATGTCATCATTACTTAGATAAGAACAGCAACAAAAAAGATTGTTTAAAATCCATTTCGAATGAAGATGTATAAGCCCAAGACTAACAAGCGGAGGTTTAGGGTAGTTCTGATAGTGATTATCGTCTGATGATGGTGGTAAACTCCAGTTGTTGACCTTGCAGGTCAATGAAGTCGCGATGCTGTCTGGTTAGACCTTGATTTTATTGTTGGCCATACCTGAGAATTCCCAAGTGTGTAATACCCTGCGGAGCACTGCACTTGAAAGTCGTCTGTCTTTGATGGGCAAGCATATCCTGCAGGGCATGGTGTACAATCTTGTTGTCCTCCCTTGCTGTACGTACCATCTGCACATTCAGTCGCTGTATTTGATGTTGTGCTGGGACAGCGAAACCCTGGCGGACACTTGGTGCAATACTGGAAACAAAAAACACGTTTCCAATTGTTGTCAAGAGAATGTTTGCTTTAATAACGTGTTTCTGTTTTGACAGACTAAGTAAAAAGTAGGCATTTCTAAACCTGTTACAGCTTATTTGAAAACGAAGATGTCACAAGAATATTTTGTCCTAAAATAGCCTCTGCTATTGTTGATAATGAAAAGAAAAAAGCGAAAAGGGATCGAACTAAAACCTGAGATCAGGGTCTTAACCACGCCCTTCAAAGTGATTTTACGACACATTCTTTGCAGTTTAGCCTCAGTGGCGGATGTTCGGGGGGGGGGGGAGGGGAAGGAAGAAGATTTTCTGCGCGTGAGAAGAGCGAAGGGCGCAGGAAAGGAGGGAAGGCAACCCCTCCTAACTACCCTTTCGCGCGCGCACTCGCGTGCCCAAATTCCCTTTCCCTTCGAATGATTGCCACGCAGGCTATTGTACTTCTAAGAATATTTCTATTTACCCACAAAATGGCGTGGCGGTCCACCATTAGAGCCGTAGCCGCAGAAAACAAACAAACAAAGAAAGGGAAAAACAAGACATACCGTTTGTGACCCAACTGAATATTCTCCAGGTGAACAGGTTACAGTTTGGTTGGTATCTGTGTTTGGACAAGCCTCCCCGGCGGGACACGGAGTACAAACCGTTTGACTACCAACTGAGTAGGATCCCTGGAGACAAAGAAAAGGACAATGATATAATTAGTACAGTTCTTTTCATTAATAGCAGCATGACACTTACTTCATTTAACAGTATTAATCTGTCCCATCTTCACTATCTTCACCAGAGTACCATCCTAATTGTGTCAATAACAAAATGCTTGAATCTGATTGGTTCTTAAGAGCCCATATTCATAGCCTAATTTTGCTTTTGTAATTCCAAACTGACCGATTTGACCTGTCCGATTACCGGGAGCTTGTAATTGGACAGGTCAAATCAGACAGTTAAAGAACCAATGAAAATCAAATTCCAAATGCCACTAGCCAATGAAATTTAACTACATAGCGCATGATAACCAACCAAAATCAATGAAAATATAGTGACCAGGTAAGCTGTCCAGGTTCAATTGGAAAAGAAAAATGGATGAAACTAACTGGTCCAGTGACAATTATTCCGATTTTTTCTTTAGGCTTTGACAGCTTGTTACTCGAAAAAAAAGTTCATCATGCGGTCAGGCTAGCTTCCACATTCTGGAAAATTTCATACAAAGTTGTAACCGATCATGTTTTAGCTTCGGCATCTTTCTCTTACATTAATAAATATTCTAAGACTAAGATTCCCGCATTTTGTTGCTGAAACAACCAATTGGTAATATGACTTCGTGCCGTGCAATTCAAGGGTATTCGCTGAACTGTACTTCACTCAGTCCTTTTGCCATTACCAATCGAAGTAATAATACCAATATCATCATCTCCATCAGAGTTCGCAAAGCCATTATTCACATCACGAGCGATGAGCATCATCATCTGTCCTTAAGCCATAACTAGTGCCATTTTCCAACACTGTCACTGTGAAAGCGTTAAGGGGTTGAGTCGTCAAAATTCCAAGATGAACCTGTCATCGCTGATTCACTATTGCCATCATCAATACCATCAGATTTTTATTTGTCGTAATTTTGAACATCACCGTATCACTGTAGTTACAATTACATCATCAGTACTATCATCATCCTCGTCGTCAGTCGACATCATAATCATCATCACCATTATCATCCTCGTCATTATCATCCCACAGTACTATTGTTATAACACCCGCCCTCAATATCATCGTCATCATCAACACCAACATTACCATCACCAAAAGTAGGTTCAGTTTGATCGTCCGGGTGAACGTAGTCCTGAATAGGACTGTTGTTGTTGACAGTGACTGACGTTTCGACAACCTGTGCCGTAGTCGGTGAGTTGTATCACCTCAGTTGATGACATCATCATCATCATCATCATCACCATCACCATCACCATCACCACCACCACCACCACCATCATCATTATCATCATTTTGATAATCACCAGACTCGTCATAGGTTTGTTAACACAAAAATTAACGGTAAACAATTTAACAAAAATGACCTCTACTCTGCTACACAATGTGGCAAAACGACATACATACAGGCAGACATTTAACATTTCCAGTTCCATCCTTATTTGGGCATTTCCAGCCCTTTGGACAAGGAGTACACTGTTCCTGACGACCATATGAGAATGTGCCACCAGGGCAGTCTGTCACCGTGGCAACAGTTGTTGATGGACAGAACTTTCCTTCTGGACAGACAGTACAGGCCTGAGCTTTTCCAACAGAGTACGTTCCTAAAAGACGTAAGAAAGACAGGAGGTGTGAAGGAAGGTTTATGAAGGAAACATTTACTGTTGGCTGGGTGAAGATTCTTCATCAATTAACTCCAATGTATTTTGCCTACGGGCACTTAATCACGTCACGTACGCCATATTGGTGTCCCAAAACATGGAACAGTGGCTATGTTGGTGTTTCAAACCAATCCTGTGGGGGTTGAAGCCGTGAATGGGTCATTAACATATGTATCTTTGTGGCTATTAATACTGTTTATCCGAAGTCCTTCGACGATATGTTTTCTGTAATTTGCTACGTTTTCGTTAGATCACTGCTGCATATTTGCCAAGACCCTCCCGGAGTTTGCTTTGTGACACAAAGAAGGATGGTTACAAGGAAACCAACCCTAGAAGAATCTTAGAGTCATCGGCCGAACATTTTCTTTTGTTTCAATAAATTTGCATAGAGGCTGGTCACGTGGGTGAAAATTCATTCACGACATGGGGCAGAAAGGTCGACGACTCTAAGATTCTTCTAGGGTTGGGTTCCTTGACCACCGCGGTCAAACGTCTAAATCGTTATTTTTGTTTTTTATTGCTGGGATTTCATTTACCAGTTAGAGAAAAATGGGCAAAAATGTATGAATCAGTTAGTCAACATAACTGTCTTTCCATTTTTCTCAAAATTTTGAGCTTTTTTCGCTAAAAACGCTTCGCGCTAAAAGAGAATCATGTTTGAAAATGGCGCCGATAATAACGTCAGCATCGGTTTTCAATCACTTAGAACTTTTTTAGTAAACTTTTAAAAAGTTTAGTAAACTAACAGGATGTTGGTAATACCCTAAACTTTCGATAGTGAAAGTAGCAACCTTAACTTTGAAGTATTTCGCTTAACTTTTGCAAATTTCGCTCGTTTGACCGCTGTGAAGGTTCCTTGTAACCATCCTTCCTTGTGTCACTAGGGAAACTCCGGGAGGGTCTTGGCAGATATGCAGCAGAGGTCTAACGAAAACTTAGCCAATTTCAGAAAACATATCTTTGAAGGACTTCGAATAAACAGTATTAAAAGCGAAGCCACAAAGATACATATATCAATGACCCATTCACGGGTTAAGATGAACTCAACAAATTGGCCTACTCCCAATTTACGGGTCTTTATAGCTCAGATGGTAGAACACTGCAGCGCTAACACAGAGGCCATGGGTTTGAATCCCGTTGAAGTGAATTTGCAATTGCTTAAATTGCAATTTCTACTGCGACGATCATATCTCAATTCAAATCTGTGTTTCCGCAGTTCATGTTATCTTCATTAATAGAAAAGGTTCCTTAAAACTGATCTGCAGATGGTAAACATTTCTTTTTTAAGACCTTTTACCGGGAATTCATGATCAGAACCGAGGATTTCTGGCTCTGTTATAGTTCAATTTTATCTTTGATTTGAACTTTATTTACCTTTGTTTAAACTCGTTTCCATACATTTCAGTTCTCAAGGAAACTAAAATTAAGACTACAGATTAAATTCAACTACAACAGTTCCACAAAACAAAGCTTCTCCAAAACAAAACAAAAACACAAACCTGGCACGCATTGACTTGTAGGTCCTTGTTGAGTTGATGGACACTCGGAACCTGCTGGACAGTCAGTGCAGTTCACACTCCCAGTAACAGCATACTGACCAGGGTCACAAGGGATTGGATAAGCCTGCGGAAACACACAACGAAAAACACGTTTCACATCATGTTACACACAACTATAGCACCCAAAGACGATGCAAAACACAAAACCGATATCACAGTTTTTATTTCGATAAGCATGTGGAATTGGATATTGTTATTTATGCATGGTTAGCCTAGAGGATAAATCATTAGAATTATATTGTATCTACTAGTGAGTCACTTACGTCAGTTGTTGGGCATTTATTACCAGCTGGGCAAGGCCAACAACGCACTGATTTTCCAACACTGTACGAGCCTTTCAAACAGGCTGTCGCATTTGACCTAAAAGAAAGACAACAGGAAAGCTATTGATTAAAGTAACTGATACTTTTTAAGTGTGGTGAGGCATATTCTTTTGCAGGCTGCATGAGTTATGATGGCGTTACCTTCAACATTTTGAGTTTCGTGTTGCTTGCAGTCCCGCTCTGCGACTATGAAATTGACGTAGATGTTTCTCAGCTGTTTTGAGTTTAACCCGCACTGGTATTTGACGATACTGGGATCATTACCCACCTATCCCTCCCCTAAGCCAACACTAACACTTACTTCTCACTTGGGTCAAAATGTTGGCTTAGGGGAGGGGTAGGTGGGCAGTTTCCCAGAAACGTACAATGATCCCGATACTTGACGTCATAAGTGGCATAAGATTGTTGTGTTTCATTCTCTGTTACAACTTTTTCCTCAGTAAAATTAAATGGTAATGGTCCTTATTTTACATCGGTAGCTCGTAACAGTACACATTATGGTGATAAACCTGAGGCCAACGCTACGCTAATTTCACCCCCTCGCTCCATCAGTGCGCCGCTTCACGGATACTTAAAGCTACTTACAGCTACACAGAAAGGAGAGAAGTCGAAACAAGGATTTGAGGTCGCATATAGGAATCGAACTAGGAACGTCCCGTACAGAAGGCCGTGCACTAATCGACTGTGCCCCAGTGTTTCAGTTGTAACTCCTTTTGAGAGTAAGCAGAATCAAGCCTTCTTCTTTCAAACTATAGCCAACCTAGAAATGAGTGCGAGTATTTGGGGAAAATAACACTCACTCTGGATTTGGGCAACGAAACCTTGCAGGACAATCAGTGCAATTCTCTTTCCCTGTCTCGCCAAACGTGTAAGTGCCAAGTGTACAGCGAACAGCTCTCTGCTTGGGTGATGGACACATGTAACCAATGGGGCACACTGTACAGTTGGCCTGGCCTCGAACAGAGAAGCTTCCTGCTGCACAACGAGCAATAGGAGAGCTGGGAGTTGGACAACTGTACCCAGCAGGACAGTGCTTGCAAGATGTGGCACCCTGTTAGTGAGATATAATTACACCGTTAAGGGTTTACCTGAATTACATTTTCTTGATTACGTTCTCGAGAGTACTTACAGTTAAAAAAGATAATACTTGAAAATATATTTAGGCCTATTTACGCAGGCGATTTTGGGGCACGATTTAAATTTGCCTGCTGTAAACTCAGCTAACACTGGGTAACTTGCCTTCTGGAATAACTGAGGATGTCTAACCGACAGTGTTGTTAAAAAAGAATGTTAAAATCGGCCCTCATTGAAGCACTGAGTATTTTATTTTATTATTAATTGGTATTTTGAACGCGTGCCATGAATCAAAGAACGAGAGAAAACGGCACGCTAACCAAAATGAAAATGCTTATGTTGATGCCCAGGCGGACTACCTCCAGAGAAATGGTTAGAAAGTACCATAATATGTTAGAGTGGTTTTCGTTTGAGTGTCGTAAAACCAAAACCAAAGTAATTACTCTGGCCAATCACATAGGACACAGACAATACATTGAACCAATCAAAACTCGAAGTAATTACAGGTGGCTGACGCAAAGCGCGGGAAAATGCATGCGAGCGCGTCACAATTGGCTTTGGTTTTACTTCTGATTGGATGAAAAGGTGGCGCGAATCTTTTAAGCCAATCGCATCGTGTAGAAAGTGCAAAACCAATTACTTTTCGACACTCAAATGAAAACCGCTCTATCTTGTATTGGTTACGGAAACAACTAACAAAACAATAAAAGTAGACATATACTTACAACTTCACTGTAGGTGCCAATGGAACAGTGTTTTGGAGCCTGCGCAGGGTCACTACAAGCTTGTCCTGCTTGACACTGTGTGCAGGAGGCGTTTCCTTGAAGGGAGAAATACCCAGGCATACAAGGTACCGGTGGCTGAGTGTTGTTTGCACAGCTATAGCCAGCAGGACAAGGAACACATCGAGGAATCTGTACCCATCAAGATAAAAAAAGGAATGAAGATTGCTTTGGAAGTGTTAAGTCACGAAAAAAGTCAAGCTTCTAGAGGAAAAATGTCACGTTTTCAGGCACTACTTGCGATTAGGAAGTGTTGTTTAATTCTCATCAAGAGTTACTCTAAATTTCTAATGGCAACCCCTTGTAAAGTATCTCCTGGTAGAAATCTTGAGTTTGCATTTTACTTGTTACGTAGACAGCACAGACCAGACAATGCATTTAGGTTAAAAGAACCGGGGTAATCTAATTGACTTGAATGAAGTAGTCAGGGTTCCAATTACTTTTTGGGGAAATAGAAAGTGAGACAGTGAAGCCTGAAATTGCCTACAGCACTCAATAACCAAGCCACCTTCTTTACTTCCTAGCAATCTATGTTAATGAGACCCTGCAGTAGTGCGACGTTTTACAAACAGTAACATCAAAGTTAGCTTTTCGCCTACCCGTTCTAAGGGCTCTATCACGCATTTGAGAAAAAAAACGCGTGACGGGCCCCAAGAATATCTCTGGGTAGACTACTTGACATGATGATCACCATTTGATCAAATAGGTTTTGTGGACAAGCTTAAGAACAGGACCCCCATTCGTACCTCTCCACCATTGTTCCAGTATTCTGTAGAGGAACAAGGAACAGGGGACTCGCTGGGGTCATTGCATGTGTGCCCTGCGGGGCAAGGGGAGCAAAAAGATGCCCCTGTACTGGAATGTGTCCCCAGGGGACATGCATGACAAATTCCTACTCCTGGTGGACTGTAAGTTCCGGGATTGCACTCAGTTGGGGGTATTGGATCAGAGCCATTCATGCAGGATCGTCCAGCGGGACAGATGTCACACACTGATGCGGCACCAAGACTGTATCTTCCATCTGGGCATTTCTGTTTGAAGGAAACAAGACCGAAAATTACTTGGCAGAACATTAAACACCAACCATGAATCATCTCTAAACATTTTAACTTTTGAGTCTGTGGAAGAAATCTTATGGTATGACCATTCAAATGAAAGCTCTTTGACAGCTCTTCCACATGGCACTATTTGTTTTTCAGCATGTTACAAAATAAAATGTAGAATTGTGTTTAACTTTGACCCTGACCATTTCTGGTAATAAAGGAATTAGAACAAAATTGAGTAATACGCCTACCGTGCACGTTGTTTGTCCAGCAATACTGTATTCTCCTCTGGCACAAGGAACAGGGGTGTTTGAAGGGTTCAAACAAGAATGTCCTGCATCGCAAGCTTTACAAGAAACTGAACCAGTTTCGCTGGCATAGGTGCCTTGAGGGCAAGGTTGAGGAACATTCAGTGGCGATGGACAGTAATGGCCAATGTCGCAGGGGATGCATTGTGACCCATTGCTATATGTACCAACCTACAAAGAATAAAACGTTTAGCCATGCAGTAAAAAGATCGTTGCATTGATAAACCAAAAATACTACCAATATTCTAGTCTTGTACAAAAATGTTACGGCAAGCGTGTCTTATTTCAAAGAAGACACAAAAGCCTCAAAAGCCTCTTATTGTTGCCTGTTGTCAACAGCAACAATAACCATACTTACAGCACATGTCACTGGCGGAAGCGTAGGATCAGAACAGATCTTTCCAGCAGGGCATGAAAGACATTCAGCTGAAGCCTCTGGTGAATACTGTAACAAATAAAACGCATTTCACCGCGTTAAAGGTCTATACACATAAAAGAATAGTGATTAAATAAATTAACAGCTGCGCGATATGGATGAAATCGTGCCCACGGTGCAATAATGACAACGCAGGGACTGTTATGATAGACAAGGACAATAATGGATGGTCGCAGTGATGATGATGGTGATGATGTTGATGGTGGGGGTGGTGGTGATAATGATGACGATATGATGGTGATGACGACGATGACGACAATGATGATGATAATAATGATGAAGATAAATTGCTTCAACATTTTGTCTGATGAAGTAGCCACATCAGCTGTGCTAGTAGCAGTAACATTTCCCAGCATTCACACAAGATGATCAAAAGATTACAACGCTCCCAAAAATGACATGAGACAAGACGAACACAAGAACTGCCACGTGACCGAACAAAAAAGAATAATGATGTTCAAAACAGGCCAAACAGCAGGTTTTACCTGACTAAAGAGACATGCCACTGGTAGGCTATCTCTTAATGGGCAGCGGCTTCCTGCAGGACAGGGCTGACAGGAATGTGATGCATTGTCTACTGTATAGTACCCTGCAGCACACTAAAACAGAAAAAAGGAAAACACGTTGGAAATAATTATTGGAAATGGTAGCCTAAAAATTATCTACTCTATGATATTACAAGAGTGCACATTTAATATATAAATGAAAGGATATTACACTGTATAATCAATATTTTGGCTAAGGAAAATGTAGGAGAACAATGAAGCTCTTATGCTTGTGTTTAAACGGACAATGCAAGGTTGTGCTCTAAGGAAAATTAAAGGGAGCCCAGAGCTCAAAACCTGTAGAATCTAGGGTGCCCAGCATATGATTTGTATGAAAAAAAGTAAGATTTTCTAGTTGCTCAAGAGCAAAAGTCAGGCGTCAGGGGCCACCAGGCTCAGCTAGAGCACAGCCCTGTATATATGAGCACGTAAATCGGTGCTTGCCGATAAACAGCACAACTTCAAATATCTGTATATGTTATCTGTCAAGCACAGAATAAGGTGTATTTACTTTACCTGAGTGCAGGTAGTTTGTCCTTTTGCTGAACTGAAATAACCTGGAGGGCATGCTTCAGGGGAATCAGTGGTCGTTGGGCATCGATAACCTGTAATTCAAGCAGGTACACAGGTAAGTTGGTTTGTATGAAGGTGAGTAAGTACATGGGAGGCCAGGGGTCAATTTAATAAAACTTTTTCAAGTGAATTTACAAGTGCTGCCTTGATTTTAACAGGCAGGTAGACAAGACGAATCAATAGGTAACGTAAAAACAACAAACTTCATACCTCGATCACACTCTTTACAACTATCAGATTTTGTTTCATTGGCATAAAATCCAGAGGTACATGGTTGAGGGCTACTATTGATGAGCAATGGACAATAAAATCCTACAGGGCACTCAGTACAAGACACGCTTCCTTCTGAGGAAAAGTACCCTCTGCCACAGGCTACAGGCGCGTCACTCTTCACAGCACAACTGGTAAAAAACAGAATATAACAAAGTCACAACATTTTCTAAATAATATGATCCTGCAGGAGAATCAGAAGCAAATGAAAGCATTGGTGAATTTATGCAACTTAAGTCAAGTGAGAGCAGCCAAAACGTTTTTGATAAAGTGTATATATTTGCGCGCATTAAAACTTCATCACACTTTTTTCAACTTATTTAATATTTCTGGCGTTGAGTTTTCGGGATCGAAGACGTTTTGCGTAGTAAACTGAGCAGTGACGCTAAAGAAATGTTCTAAAAAGTGTGACGCACGTAGGAAGTTTTTGTTTTCTTATTGAGTCTACTAGTGTTTGACAGTCTTGTTGACACCGAAGTCGTGGCAATGAACAAACGACAAACTTCTCCTCAAACAACCTTTATGTTACTGTACTGTGCAAAGGAAATTAGAGCGAAATTCACCTAATTTTATCTTTTTTTTCCGACAAAAGTTCACCGAAGTTATACAAGTAAAGAACCAATTTTCGGCCACACATTCTCAGTGGATTCCAGTGCAGTTAAACTGCGCCATGCCAGCTAATACATATGAACGAATACAACAACGTATGGATGTAAAGTTGGCAAAAACAGTGACCTCGACATCTCACCTATGACCTTCTGGGCATAAAATACAAAAAAGAGAACCGCTAGAGTTGCTGTACGTTCCATTGGGGCATTCTTCTTTTGCCTCCAAACCAGCGTTAGGGCACCTGAATCCGGCATCGCATTGCTTACAATCGCTCAGTCCTTCGACGTCAGAATACGTGCCATTGGCACAAATAAAGAACGTTGACAATCCGTTATTCGGGCATTGCGCTCCTTTGGGGCATGGACGNTTTCCGACAAAAGTTCACCGAAGTTATACAAGTAAAGAACCAATTTTCGGCCACACATTCTCAGTGGATTCCAGTGCAGTTAAACTGCGCCATGCCAGCTAATACATATGAACGAATACAACAACGTATGGATGTAAAGTTGGCAAAAACAGTGACCTCGACATCTCACCTATGACCTTCTGGGCATAAAATACAAAAAAGAGAACCGCTAGAGTTGCTGTACGTTCCATTGGGGCATTCTTCTTTTGCCTCCAAACCAGCGTTAGGGCACCTGAATCCGGCATCGCATTGCTTACAATCGCTCAGTCCTTCGACGTCAGAATACGTGCCATTGGCACAAATAAAGAACGTTGACAATCCGTTATTCGGGCATTGCGCTCCTTTGGGGCATGGACGGCAAACTCTGCTCCCGGATGTAGAATATGTGCCGGCCTGGCATTCCGTTGTATCGTTTCTATAACAACTGAAATTTCCAGGAAAGAGTGTTCAGGACACATATTTTAAAAAATAATGTTCTCACGTATGTTCTGAAGACGCGTATGGTGCTTGAAGGCTGCTGCTTCTCTACTGAATGGTGCCATTGATGAAGGTAACTTAGAGTGCAGTGAAGAACATTGTGGTGCAGTAACAACTTTCACGTATGTGCTAGACAAACGTCTGGTGCTTAATAGTTACAATTACTGGTTTTAATAGTGCTTATTGTAAAACACTGTGGTGCAGTAACAACTATCACATATGTGCTAGACAAACGTTTGGTGCTAATAGTTACAATTGTTGGTTCTAATAGTGCTTATTGTAAAACGTGCTTAATTAATTGCTGCAGTAAAGTAATCGTCGGCATCGCTTACAAATACCACCACATTAAGTGTGAAGCCATTGCCTGTGCTATTAACATGAACTGTTTCTTACGTGCAATTAAAAGTTATATTATAACTGTAATAATCAAAGGTTACAGGGTGCGTTCGACCGATCTTGACGATGTCAATTGCCCTAGAAAAAATTTGCGGAGATGCCAGATCTGAGTCTGAGGATCCGTCCATTCAATCAACGATAGTTTTCCCCTGCAGTCCCATAGTCCAGTCAGTATTGAGGATGTGTTCGGAGTCCAACACAACAAAGTACTGGATCTTATTCGCGCTATGATTGGCCATTGCCAGTGATGATTTGGGGTACAGAAAAACGGTTGCCGTCAAAGAAATATGGTTTTCCTTGTTCCGTCCGAAAAAGCGCAGTGAAACACACAACTACGGCTGGTGCACGTCCTTACCACATGACGTCATCTGTGACCGACATATGGGAAAATGGAATCTACTCAAGATTCCTCACTACATTACATATACGCATTCTACCTTTTATAGCATTTTAAAAAGCAAAAGCATTTTATGTAAGAAATAACAATGCACAAGCTATCCTCTCTATTCCTCGTCGATACAACAACTAATCTTACACAATACTGCTTTCAGTTAGATGCACCTAACAGCGTGAAAGCAAGGCTTTTTTTTAAACAATGTCTTACAAGAATTTGATGCCTTATGCGCAATAAAGCACGAAGAGGCAAGGTAAAGTAAGGAATTACAAGCATGTACATGAATACAGAATGATACGGGGGAAAAGTTAAGTTTTTAGAAAGTCGACTTTCATTCACTTTTATACCTAGTTAATTAAAGTATCGTACAAGTTGAGGAAAGACAATATCACGAATTTGAAGTGTTAATACTAATCCTCAGTGGGATGGGAAAGGTATACCTAGGTGTTCTCCTGTTTCTGAGGGGAGGGGGGGGGGGTCTTTGGGAAAAAGAGATATTTTCTCTATCTTTATCTTAGGAGGGGCATGTAATAATTTGGTACAAAAACCACACCTAACCCCACCTGGGAACAAAAACCAATTAAGTAAACCCGCCTTTTGCTAAATATTTCCT